ATTAAATGGTCGTGCCTTATAGTGTAGCTACATCCTGTGTATATTAAATGGCCGTGCTTTATGGTGTAGCTACATCCTGTGAATATCAAATGGTCGTGCCTTATCGTGTAGCTACATCATGTGTATATTTTAATGGTCGTGCCTTATCATGTAGCTACATCCTGTGTATATTAAATGGGTGTGCCGTATCGTGTAGCAGCATCCTGTGTATATTCAATGGTCGTGCCTTATTGTGAAGCTACATCCTGTGTATGTTAAATAGTCGTGCCTTATCATGTAGCTTCATCCTGTGTATATTAAATCGTCGTGCCTTATCATGTAGCTACATTCTGTGTATATTAAATGGCGTGCCTTATCATGTAGCTACATTCTGTGTATATTAAATGGGCGTGCCTTATCATGTAGCTACACCTTGTGTATATTAAATGGTCGTGCCTAGTGTAGCTACATCCTGTGTATATTAAATGGCCGTGCTTTATGGTGTAGCTACATCCTGTGAATATCAAATGGTCGTGCCTTATCGTGTAGCTACACCCTGTGTATATTTTAATGGTCGTGCCTTATCATGTAGCTACATCCTGTGTATATTAAATGGGTGTGCCGTATCGTGTAGCAGCATCCTGTGTATATTCAATGGTCGTGCCTTATTGTGTAGCTACATCCTGTGTATATTAAATAGTCGTGCCTTATCATATAGCTACATCCTGTGTATATGAAATTGGCGTGCCTCATCATGTAGCTACATCCTGTGTATTTCAAATGGACGTGCTTTTTGATGTAGCTACATCCTGTGTATATGAAATGGTCGTGCTTTATGATGTAGCTACATCCTGTGTTTATCAAATGGTCGTGCCTTATCATGTAGCTACATCCTGTGTATATTAAATGCACGTGCTTTATGATGTAACTACATCCTTTGTATATCAAATGGTCGTGCCTTATCATGTAGCTACATCCTGTGTATATCAAATGGGTGTGCCGTATCGTGTAGCAGCATCCTGTGTATATTCAATGGTCGTGCCTTATTGTGTAGCTACATCCTGTGTATATTACATAGTCGTGCCTTATCATGTAGCTACATCCTGTGTATATTAAATCGTCGTGCCTTATCATGTAGCTACATTCTGTGTATATTAAATGGCGTGCCTTATCATGTAGCTACACCCTGTGTATATTAAATGACGTGCCTTATCATGTAGCTACACCCTGTGTATATTAAATGGTCGTGCCTTATAGTGTAGCTACATCCTGTATATATTAAATGGCCGTGCTTTATGGTGTAGCTACATCCTGTGAATATCAAATGGTCGTGCCTTATCGTGTAGCTACACCCTATGTATATTTTAATGGTCGTGCCTTATCATGTAGCTACATCCTGTGTATATTAAATGGGTGTGCCGTATCGTGTAGCAGCATCCTGTGTATATTCAATGGTCGTGCCTTATTGTGTAGCTACATCCTGTGTATATTAAATAGTCGTGCCTTATCATGTAGCTACATCCTGTGTATATTAAATCGTCGTGCCTTATCATGTAGCTACATTCTGTGTATATTAAATGGCGTGCCTTATCATGTAGCTACACCCTGTGTATATTAAATGGCGTGCCTTATCATGTAGCTACACCCTGTGTATATTAAATGGTCGTGCCTTATAGTGTAGCTACATCCTGTGTATATTAAATAGTCGTGCCTTATCATGTAGCTACATCCTGTGTATATTAAATCGTCGTGCCTTATCATGTAGCTACATTCTGTGTATATTAAATGGCGTGCCTTATCATATAGCTACACCCTGTGTATATTAAATGGTTATGTTTTATTATAGGTGTATCACATGTATATGAAATGGGTGTACTTTATCATGTAGCTGCATCCTGTGTATAAATGGAAGTCGTTTTTTTATGTAGGTATATCCAGTATACATGTATGTTAAAGGGGCGTGCGTTTTCATGTAGTTTCATCCAGTGTTTTCCAAAGCGGAATGCCTTGCTTTTGGACCCAACATGTGTATATGTATTTAGCAAATAACCTGCTTCATTCGAAATAGTTTGTACAGATTATATATCTATGTATTTTCCGAATGTGCCTGTCATACTATAGTATGTGTCCGTAATTGGTGTTATATAAACAGAGGGAATACAACAGTTTCAAAGCATAACAGCAACATACTTAAACCACGGGGGAAATGCTTGGATAAAAATCAAATTGAGTTTAAATGTTTAAAAAAAAACACTGGAAAGATCTTAAATTGTGGGGAGAAAAAATCTATATCATTTATAAATAAAAAAATCCAACAATATAGAATATACTGAATTATACCCTGGTATAGTGTTGAAAGCATACGGTCCTGCGTATTTTATTGAGTCATTGTACATTGATTGTTAGATGAAGGAACTCCGGAACCTTCGATACCGATGTTGCTGATTTTTAGAAAAATAGAAAAGGAAAGGTTAAGATTGTCTAGCACCTCATGTAATTAGTTGTAAGAGAGTTCTGCGCCTTATTTACTCAGCTGTGAGAGAGTTGTCCACCTTAGTTGTAAGGGAGTTGTCTACCTTAGTTTTGAGGGAGTTGCCTACCTTAGTTGTGGGGGAGTTGTCTACCTCAGTTGTGAGGGAGTTGTCTACCTCAGTTGTGAGGGAGTTGTCTACCTTAGTTGTGAGGGAGTTATGAACCCTTATTCGACCGCAATCATCTGTATCTGATTGCCAATACAATGTAATAAAGTAGTTAATATGAGACCAGTGTCATTGTCTTTATTATGTGATACAATTACACGTTGCCTGACGTACCCGCTACTGATGCCAATGGAGCGCCCAGGACACGCCAGGAGCGCAACAGGAGCGTGTGAAGCAGCTAGGTGGCATTGTTGTACACATCCGATGAGGGAGTTACACGTGTAAGATAGGTTGTCTGATGTACCTGATACTGCTGCCAGTACAACACGTGCATGTATGAAGCAGGTGACATTGTTGTACACATCCGATGAGGGAGTTACACGTGTAAGAGAGGTGGTCTGAAGTACATGATACTGCTGCCAGTAGAGAGGCCAGTACAACACGTGCCTGTATGTCTGAAGCAGGTGGCATTGTTGTACACATCCGATGAGGGAGTTACACGTGTAAGATAGGTTGTCTGAAGTACATGATACAGCTGACAGTAAAGAGCCCAGGGCAACACGTGCCCGTATGTCTGAAGCAGGTGGCATTGTTGTACACATCCGATGAGGGAGTTACACGTGTAAGAAAGGTTGTCTGAAGTACATGATACTGCTGACTGTAAAGAGCCCAGGGCAACACGTGCCCGTATGTCTGAAGCAGGTGGCATTGTTGTACACATCCGATGAGGGAGGTACACGTGTAAGATAGGTTGTCTGAAGTACATGATACTGCTGACAGTAAAGAGCCCAGGGCAACACGTGCCTGTATGTCTGAAGCAGGTGGCATTGTTGTACACATCCGATGAGGGAGTTACACGTGTAAGATACATTGTCTGAAGAAATTATACACTTTAAAATTGGATCTGACCAAGAAAGTTGGAATGTTACGATATATACTATAAGATGAACAAAGTCGCGGAAACACTGCGGACGTTTGGTACAAAACACAACTATGATACCCGTGAAGTAAGACGAGTTCTATGGATGTACAACTTCTTTATTACAATTAGTGCGACGTTTCGGTGTAGATCCTAACACCTTTATCAAGCAAGTGATGGATAGGGCTAAACAACATAGGTATATATACACTTATTGACATCTAACTTGTTACAGTGACTAGTTGATGGACACAGAGAGGTGATTCAGCTAATTGGAAGCCAGTGGATGACTAATGAACACAGAGTATACTAGCAGAGTAAACAAGCAGACTGATGGAGATGACTGCTTGTTTACTCTGCTAGTATACTCTGTGTATACCTGGCGACCTGCAAATAAAACCGAAATGGGCCATGAAGATAACAAAGGATCCTTCGGAAACATGTTTAGTTCTTAACAACGACCGGAAGTCAGTCTGTTGTAAGCAGTAACTATGACTGAAAAAAAAGAGTATTACTATCCGCAGTGCACTCGCCCGAGTATTGTTTTCATCAAGAAAAGATACACCAATGAGTTAGAATTTGACAGCCAAATGGTTTGTGTTTTGAATAATGCCACTACCATTTTAATCAAATTGTCTGGTCGGCTTGTTTTATAAGGCTATTAGGGGGCACGGATGGCCCAGTCGTCTATGACGCCGCGATTCGCTGTGCAGAGTTGCGTCCCTTGGGCACGCCAGAAACCTAGAATTGGTTCGAATCCCGGTTAGTCTCGATTATGTTTCTAGGTTTGTCAGCACCATACCCGTGCTCGTGGGTTTCACCGAAGTGGTAAACGTCTGAGACCTGCATCACTTTGGGCTTTGCTCCCACATTAAGCTGACAAGCCGCGATATAAATGTTATACTGTTAAAAGCGACTTTAAAACCAACCCACTCACTCTTTATAAGGCTGTTAACTTCATAGAGAGGTTTCCCGTGAGAACTTAAAGGGAAATAAAACATCCACTGTCTCTCACAAAGCTATGTCATTGGTTCTCATCCGTCTGTCAAACAGTCGTTAGCAACTTCAAAACAACTTTCAATGGCGGTGGGGTAGTCTTGTGGTTAAAGCGTTTTCCCGTCCCGTCGAAGGCCCGGGTTCGATTCCCAACATGAGTACACAGTGTGGAGCCCATCTCTGGTGCCCCCTGCCGTGACATTGCTGGATTTTTGCTACACGTGGCGTATACCACACCCATTCACTCACTGTCAATATCATACATTTTAAACGATTTGCACACGGAGTGATCCATATGAAGAATACGAAGAAGTTTACGATTTAATGGTAAAAAAGTCCAATAAGATGCAAAAATAATTTAGTCACAAGAGCATTCAGATTTCGAGACTCGAATCCGTCTCTGATCTCATAGACATGTGTATTCAGTTATCATCTAACCAAGAGTTATTTCCCTTTGATGACTCTTTTAACTATAAGTTGCGAAATCCATATTTCCGATTTGATTATTACGATGAGGAAAAACAGATTATAATTGGAAATATTTTCCGTCGTAGGACAACACAGAGCAGGAATGGCGACCTTTCCGAGTATTACAGGGATTCTCCAAATTACTGTTGCCATCATCATCGTCCTTCAGTGTGTTTCTCAAACAAACGTATGTAGTTTACGAACGTACATCCGAAAATGCCTAGTAATGTCATGTGATCCAAAATGAATTGAACGCTGGTGCCGATACCATTTATGCGGGAGTTCTTATTAGCAGTAATGGCATGCGTATTTACTGTCAAGGCGCCCTTTACTTTATTGTTCACACTGAAACAATTAGAACGATACGCGCACTGAAAACATGGAAAGGGCCAAATTTGATGGCATGTTATCTCTTCAGTACAGAAAAATAATCAGGTGTTCATTTAACCTTTAAGTTGTTTAAAGGAAGTACTGCATTTTACAAGGCCCTCTTGGATAGAGGGGCACCTGACCCTCATGATCAAAAGGGGTCAGGGGTAACTGATTGGAAAGAGGGGGGCCAAGGATAGAGTTGGGGGTAAGCTACCCTAACCCTAAGGATATCAAGGTAGATCAGTGAAGCGAGAGCCGGAGCGTGCACTGCAAAGGAATTTGCTCATACTATCAGTCACTGGTTTGTCTGGTCCATTCTTACATTATTTACACAGCTGGCCGCAGTTGTATGGCAGTATTTATCAACCAACAAAACAAACTTCTGAAAATGAACCTTCTTTTACCTTCCTTAACATATTCTCTTTGACTTGGCATTTAACGTCTCTGGAGCCATGTTTCTTTCTTGGTGATCAATGGTGTTTTGATCTACATGTTGCTGATCCAGGAAATAAATATCCTTGGAATGATCATCTACATTACTGTTCAAAACTGTTAATATTTTCTTAATAATGGTACTCGTCCATGCAGCCAAAAGAAGGAGCACAAATAAGTCTTGGTATGTTTCAGCTAGTTTTCATTTGAATCCTGCATTATGTACTTTTTGACACCTAAGAAAAATCATTTGACCTGAACATGCAGGGGTAAGCATAATAGAACATGAAAATGTCCATCATGCTCTTCACACAGATTCTATAAGCTAGCAAGCTACTAGCTGCTGCTTTTTGATGACATATTGAATGTAAGAAAACATTTTCCCTTGGACACGTATGGAAAATATTCCTTTGTTTAACAAGCATATTCGTTCAACAATGATGATGTTGCTATGTTGCAGGCTAGTTATGAAGATGCACGATGCAAGTGTGTTTGTGATTTAGAAAGAAATGGAACAAAACCAGAACGGACAGTTTATGTACAAACAGTAGGAAATCAGGAATGGTAAGTTAATTTTCAGCATGGTTTATTTGATTTATTTTTAATTGTGGATTATGTTTAAACAGAAAGAGAATTACCAATACCTCATATAGCATGTGTATAGATTACTTTTTGTTGACATTTATATTGAATGAGATCAGAGAGTCAGTGACCATGGTGACTTAAACATGTTTAAATTGAAAGTGACAACAGTATTTCTGCCATACTGTGACTTAGAATAGATGGGCAATACCAAGGGATTCAAGAATATCTAAAACAGGGGTAAAGATGGTAAAGTGATTGTCAACCATCTCTTATACATAAAGATGATTGTCACTGATACAAGTCAACAGAGTAAACATTGTAAATTTATGTAAACATGGTAAATATTCCCTGATGGGCCAAGTATTTTCTAACTTGGCTTTCCCTGTTTATGCTATTAGTGTGGTTTAAGGACAGGAATAGAACTTAACACTAGCCAGCTAGCCCGGGGCTAGTACACATTTACTAATTTCCCCATTGTTTTAACAATACAAGGGCATTTTATCATTCCTGGGCTTGTGATTGTAGTTCTAACCCTAAAGGATGTCAGCTGGTGTGACTTTGTGTTCACTCCGCAACTTGACCTGTCATGTATCAGGAATCCTGTAAAATTGTTTAACAATATTTGTTAGAGCCAGTGTATCGTCACCCTGAAGTAATGAAGCTGAGAATCATAGACTAAAAGTCATATATGGCATAATAGTATACCTAGCCTAAAGTTTATTAATTTTTTTGTGCTTATGTTTGCAGCAAGTGTGACACTGTGGCACTCCCAAAGAATCCTGAAATCTTTTGCCCACGATGTGAATGTTCCAAGGAGAGTAGAAACACGACAACCATCAAGGTCATTTGATAATTTCATTGAGTACAGCTTCCTGGACGTGTTGATCCAGCCAGATGTTACTCTTGTTCCTAAACAATTAGCACTGACAGAACAGAACAGATCTGTTGACAATAAGCATGATAAATTATGTTGACAATAATCAGGACAGATCTGTTGACATGGTTGACGACAAGCAGAAAAAATCTAGTGAAGATGTGTTAACAAAAAGCTTGTGAAGGCAAAAACATGACCTGATGACAATAGACTGTTGCCATCAAAATGTGATGACAATACGATATCTTGATACACATGTTATCATATGCTGAGAATATGATGTGATGACAATAAGATGTAGTGAGAAGAATGTATGATGAAAATATTTTAGCTGTCGGATATGATGATGACGATGACATATTATTATTATCATTATTATGACTCCTCATACATGTCATAAGTAAGACTTACAACATGTACAATGTTAAAAATGATTAACATTGAAGAGTCCTGATTGTAATTGTTTAGAAAATGAAGTACTGCTATTATGTTATCAGTCACTCAACAAAAGCCATCACTCTCTCCTCATTGTGTTGCAGGTGGTGGTGATCTTCATCATCTGTGTGGTGTCCCTGCTGATGGTGTACATGCTGTTCCTCATGTGTCTGGACCCACTGATCGCACGTCGACCCGCTCACTACCAGGAACATGCAGACGAGGAGGTGAATTTGGTAACAAGTTTTGGCTGCGGCTCTGTTCCTTGCTTCTTCAACACACTAACATTCAGCCTCAAGCATCAAACAGCATGGCATCAATACTGTTGTGTTTCCAATAGATGGAGCAAAGTCTTTTACTACTTGTGTACTCCAATATCTGTAGCATATCGCATCTCCTAGTGAGTCAGATATTTGTTGTTTCATAAATAGTTGACAATTTTTAAGTGTGTGGGGGTTTGGTTTTTTGATAAATGAATGTTGAAATTCCAGCAAAAAACTTGTATGATAAATTCCAACTTATTTGACAATAGATTAAGAGGAAGATTTGAAAGCACTGTCAGTGACTATAGGGGAAATATACATGAACTACATATTAAAGATATTTCATCCGTTTAATTAGATTTAGGTCAATCCCAATTATGTCAAGTCTGTTAAGAGTAACCTCCCTTTGTTAATTTATAAGGTTTAGATGTTATGGATGCTGTTTGATGCTTAGGTTGAACAGAACATGTGTTCAGAATGAAATTGTTCAATGTTATTTTTCATAAGAGTGTTTTGCAGTGCTCTGTGTACCTGTTTGAGATGTGTTGAACTTCAATAACCTCCTTGATATAGCATAACTGATTTAAGTTCATTATTGACCACAAAGTAAGGATTTATTTCATAATTAATGAAAGGTACTTATACCAATCCACTGTGCCTAAAAGTAATCTAAGGACTGGCTCGTAGCCCCGCTCATTGAGGATATTAGCATGAGCATCCTGTATTACCCAGTGTATTATGTCTCCATTCTATTATGATTAATACCCTGGACTCATTTGCAACCAAAGGAAGTGACATCCTCATCTTCATCTCTCTTATCACAAACGTAGCAGAAGATTTCTCTCACTCATGGTGTAATCTGATTGGATGGCTATCTACAGTGCCATATCTTTCAACAGTGTTTGAAATATAACAAAATGCTAGGCTGTCATCAGGACCCAGAGACTCTGGAAGCTGCAGCCCCTGAGTAAACTCTTCAGGCCCTCACTTAAAAAACTGAAGCTTATTGTGACAAATAAATTGACCAGTAAATTTACTGAAGATCATAAGGGCCCATACAAATTTGAAACTACAGGCCCGACACAAGATCTGCCTATGGGCAGGCGCTTATTTCGAACACTGTCACAAGTATGGTTGAAAACATATAAGATTATAAGATAAGATTAACTCAATTACTTTAACTGGCTTGTTTGCTCTCAACATGCTCAAAATGCTGAATTAAGATTATTACCAAGTCAAAATTTCAAGGCATGTCAATGAAAAATGAAAGCTGTTTCGCCTCTGACTTGTCTAATCTGTCCTGATTCTCTTGATCCTTGGTCATGTTTATTATGCTAATAAACAAAGATGGAACGGGTCTTTACACATTTGTCAGCTATATATTGACCATGTTGACATCTGTTTATCAACCCTGTATGTCCCTTTGATAAATTACTTTCGGGTCATTCAGCTTCTAAATTATTCTAGACCTGAAGCTTTGAGACCAGCATTAATTTATATTTGAAACTTACCAGATTCATTTCTCAGGGATTATTTTAAAGCTTAGAAAAATTACCTTGCTACCCATTGTCAGAGCACATAATGATAAGCAGATTGAATTCCTGATTGTTATATGAAGTTCAACATGTCTGAAATAGGCTATTAACTGAAACATTAAGTACAACATTTTCTAAACCAAATCAAGTTGTAAAATTAAGATGTCTTAAAGATATCAGTATATGTAGAATACCTGATCACATGTTCTGAAGCATTCTCTGTGCATGATGTATTATCTGTGTAAACTTAGTGTAGTGAGTCACTATGTCCTCATCACACTAGTCAGCATATCACTCTGATACCGCTAATCACTGAATATGTAGCCATCCCCTTCAGTTTGCACTGTGTATTGATGGACCTGGGATAGTTATGGTGTGTCTGTGGTTGTTGTTGGTCGTGGATTGAGGTCAAGGGATGAGGTCAAGGTCATTACACTGCATGTTATGATGGATGGAATGTTTCAGGTCAAGGTCATTACACTGCATGTTATGGGGGATGGAATGTTTCAGGTCAAGGTCATTACACTGCATGTTATGGGGGATGGAATGTTTCAGGTCAAGGTCCTTGTGGTTTAACTATTATAGTTCAGGGCAAACCTATGGTTTATTACACTACAATGGGGAAAGAGCAAACTTTATTTCTTAAATATTGCAATACCTGAATCACAATATTACTCGATTTTTACACGAACGTCTCCATGTTCGATGTGGCCCCAGCTAACAAGAGGTAGTTCATCTGAACATGATGAACTAGTCCGTGGCTAGTACATGCTTGTTTTAATACTATTAGTATTGATTCATGACAGGCAGTACGGTAACACAAGAACAAGTAGTTATCAGACCAGGCTTATTGGAAAATTTGGTAAATATTACTTTTTTGAAAATCAGTTTGGAAGTTAAACATGAATCAATACATGGTTAGGCATATTGTGTATCGCATCATCTGGTTAAAATTATGATATGTCGGTGAATTGTGACCCCTAGAGCTGCTACTGATGTAGGTTCTCACCTGGAGTCAGGTACCTGTTTCATGTCTGCATCACATACAGTGTTGGCCTCAGGTACTAACTTGTCTCACACGTGTCGGTGGAGGTTCTCACACTGCATGAAGGTGTCAGTTACAGAAGAAATCAGCTCTTAATGTTATTTTGTTAGATTTGGCAATATTTCTTACGTGTAACCAAATTTTCAATTCGATGTAGGCTTTGAGTCAGTATTGTTGGTATTTCTCTGTACCATTCTCTTGGCATGGTTTGTGTCACATTTAGTAAATTCTATCCTTTAAATGCTTGTTAGATAATAAGTGCTCTCAAAATTAGAAATAGGGGGCTCTTATTAGAATATAATTTTGGTGAGAAAAAAAAGTTGAAAGATCATAAATTTTGTGGTTTATGCTGTCAGCCTGAAATGATACAGAAGAAAAGTAGTATTATACACGACAGATATATTTTCCAGAATTTAATTGCCCATAATTAAGGGTGCATATAACACACAAGTGTGTATTATACATGAATAAATAAGTCTTGTGTACATTGATCAATTGAAAGGGATGTTAATTGGGATTGTTCACTAGCCAATATATTAGCAAATATCGCCGTGGGCGCTTATTAGAATCGGGCGCTTATTACGTCGAATATGGTAATAGGACCATTGTAGTAAATATAAAAAACATACAACGTTATGGATGACAACTTCTGGTTTATTGCGTTTAAAGACGTTTCAATGTAGATGGAGTCAGCTTGATAACGGTGTAAGAATCTACATGGAAACATCTCTAAATGCTGGGAACCAGAAGTTGTTTTCCATAAAGTTGTATGTTTTCTTATTTATTCACCAACTTCTAGAGTGCCAATAAAAAAGTTACTCTTGTAGTAATCTGGCACATGGTCCTGTGCACAGTGCAAAAGTCAAGTGAAGTTAAGTAATGTCAGTCTCGGAGAGTAGTTGGTTGGTTAAGCAGATTGATTCCTGAGAGTTTCTAGGGCTTCGGTCCTGCTCCAAACTAAAGCACATGTACCACATGTGGTGTCTCCACAGGCAAGTGTTCGAAATGTGCCTCTGTTCACCCAGCAGTGAGTGGGTACCCAGTAGGATGAGATGGTAATATGGCTGTTAAATTCTTGTCAAACTTTGCTAGTAGCAGAAAAAAAGTCAAGGCCACAGGATCCATGCAATATCACTGCACATTTCCACAAAATTGTCATTTTTGTAGAGGATTATTTGCACACAGATATGACCTGTCACTTATTTTTAGCTCACCTGACTGAAAGTCAAGTGAGTTTATGTGTTGGGCTGTTTGTCCAGCATCCAGCGTCTGTCCAATGAAGCTGAAACGTCACATGCTTGTTGCCACCAATGGTGACACCTGAATTTGTTCAACATGTTCAAGAGGTTTGAATCTGATTTTCAATTTGATATTAAAATAGATATTTTGACCTTTGCACATCAAACATCCTGAAAGCTATAACTTCCCAGTGCCGTAGCCACCCTGGTGTCACCCTGACGTGATAATGCTGGAATATCACTAAAAGCGGCTTACAACCATATTCACTCACTCAATTCAATATGGCTGCCGTAGCAGAGAGTTGGTTTCAGAGTCGAAACTTTGTATAAAGTAAATATAACTATTGTGTATTGCAACCATGGTATAGTACATTCATTTTTGCAGATTAAGCCTAGTGGTTAAAGCGTTCGAATCCCGACATGGGTACAATGTGTGAAGCCCATTTTTTCTGGTGTCCCCCGCCTCGATATTGCTGGAATATTGCTAAAAGCGGCGTAAAACCATACTCACTCACTCACTTAGAAACAGTGTCAAAATTTAGCTTCTTGTTTCATGTTTCTATATCTATCTAGTATCTATACTTATTATTTGTAAAGTGTCTGTCTTTGTTGACATTTAATTCTGTTGACTACATATCCAGGTGAGCCAGAGTGCCATGGCTGTATTTTAAGTTGTGTAATGTGTGACAAATGGTCATTGAAACAATCTCCAAGGATACATGAAATAATTCCTATATGTTAACATGTGCCATTACAATTAATAAGGAAAAGGAAGTTTTTAAAGCAGCCAATATGAGAGTTTTTAACACTGACGTCATGGTCCAATCACAGTGTGTTTCAAAGCAGAATAAATAGTTTAATGCAAGTGCAATCTCATTAAAATCTGAGGACATCCCATTTTGGGTCATGTCAGAATGACCTTTCATCCGACCAATCTAAGTGTTGCTTACCAGATCATAAAAGTGACAGTCGGAATGTGTTTTCTAATCATGCAACCTCGAAAATGTTAACACGGGGTATTCCGAACAACAGTTACGGCCCGTACGACTGATTCCGTCAAAATTATCGTCCATCTCTCGCTTCCGTGGGATAAACATTTGTACGGAGAAGGCGTTTCACAGTATGTGGGAAGTACTGCCATACAATCTCAACCAAATATTAGACATTCCGGAAAGTTCATTTGTTTAGTTTTCAAAAACTTTAATCGAGAATTGTGTCAACATATTTTTCAAGCGTAGTCTGAAATGAGAGTCGTTAGGTTGAAACGAGTGACGTAAAGCTTGAGAAAGCTGCTTTCTAATTGGCTGATGTCGACTTCTTGTTTGTCATTTCAGTGGTTGGTCAAAGTTCACAAAAGGTTGTTCCGTAATGGGATGTCCTCAGATCTTTATTTAGCGGCAGAGAGAACTTTGATCTGATTTTAATGAGATTGATGCAAGTGATGGTATCAGTGTGGATGGTATTGGTCATCCTATTCAATTACTGCCGATGGTATTGTGACCAGATCATATCCGTCACATCACAGTCTGTTTTGACATCTGTAGATGGATTTATTTACAGTAGCACAGAACGGAGACTTGATGAGTATAAGAACTATTGTAGACAAACAAGTCAGTGTAAGATAAAGTCAGATGCAGACTGTATTGGATAGCTTGAAATTGTGCATCCCAAGGAACAACCTGTATTGTTATACATCTTGTAAAAATCTTGGAATTCCATTGGTTAATCCATATCATGTGACGAGACAGTAAGTTTCAATGTAGACCCTAAAATCATGTGACTGACACTGTCATCGAATATTGACTCGTCACATTATCAGTATTGACCTGTCACATGATGAATATTGACTCATCTGCAAGAAAACAAGATGGCGTCTGGTATGAACATTTCAAGCTTCGCAGCCAAGTTACTGTAATGAAACACAGGGGTAGAAACTAACCCTTATAATGATAACATATAGCGAACCCCTTAAAAATGGCAAATTTCTACTAGTCCTTAGATACCTTTACTGTAAATTGGGCAGTTTGGCAAGGACTATAGGACTAGTGCCAGTTTCTAACACTGAAACATGGGGGTAAGGACTTCATGAACTTAAAAGTTAAGTTCAGTATGACAAATGAATGATTACTTTTGACGAGGTTAATATGCAAAAACAAGGACCCTCACAACCAACCACTTTGGTGGTCTGACCTCAGAAGTCGGGTCCTCGGGTCCTTGTTTTCACCTATTGACCTCGTCAAGGGTAATTATTTGTGTAGTGTTTTCTTCAAAGGGAGCCAGTCAGAAGTTTCATCACTCTGAGAGGGGCATGGATGGCCATGTTGTCATGTGCGTGCAACTCTCTGTGCAGAGTTGTCTCTTAGCCATTAGGACTTGCCCGGATTATTGATAAATAAAGTTAATAAAAATTAGGGTACACACCACGCTTTGGGACAGTAGGCATTCCACATGAAGTGGAAGAATCCATTTCCATAGAGAAGAGAATTGTGGTGGAGAGTCATTCTGTGCATGTGGAATTCATGATCTGTAGCTATTTCACTTGACACATGCACCGTATCCCACAAGCAAAACTTCCACTACTGCTATAGTTATTGACTACACAGATTACGCAAATCTGTAGGTTCATTTGTCAGGACTTGATTATTCTTAGGTTTGTTTTGCAGTGAGAACCTTGTGTGTGTCTTTTCTTCTCATCTTAGGCTGTGATATGATTGAATGGCATAAATATCCAGATAAGTTTGTGGGTTTTCCAGCTTCCAAGGTTGTAAATGCCATGGACCATGATGGACCTTTATCACTTTCGGCTTTCCTTCCACATTAGGCTCACATGTTGTCAGTCTAGTCCTGAGTGTCATTTGAATGGTTGATGTGTTTACCAGCTTTATTATTATTGTCATTATTGTGCCAGCTTTATTATTGTTATCATTATCATTGCCATTATGATTATTGAGTGGGCCAACTACTGTGGTTGAATTAATTGTGGTTAAGCACTTCGCTCTGAGTACCGCAGCTACCCCCGTCTCAAGAGGCCATCTCACGTACCTGAGACAGTAATCCGTCTCACGTACCTGAGACAGTGATCTGTCTCACGTACTTGAGACAGTAGGCCGTCTCACATACCCGAGACAGTAGGTTGTCTCACGTACCTGAGACAGTAATCCATCTCATGAACCTGAGACAGTAGGCTGTCCCACGTACCTGAGACAGTAATCCATCTCATGAACCTGAGACAGTAGGCTGTCCCACGTACCCGAGACAGTAGGCTGTCTCACGTACATTTCTCTGCCTGAATATTGTACCAGCTTCATTAATGTCCACAAGCACCTGAGTATTATTTCAACCACTTATGATTTGTAGTCTGTTATTTTTCAGGAAACAAATAATCATTCTCTTATTTTCCTGCATGTGTTTGCCGTCTCCCTCTGTTCCCTATTTCTGATGGAAGACGTATATTTCCAGGATGACCTGTCTATACCTCGGATGTCGCCGCTTGAGACGGCAGCAGCAGCGTCAGCATCCGCACGGCAGAGGTCGATCCTCAACCGTGTGTCCGATGAGCAGAAGAAGTGGAAGGGGACTGTGAAGGAACAGAGGAAACACATATATGACCGGCATTCCATGCTTAACTGAAGCAGTAGAAGAAGTGGAGATGTGGGTCAGAGTACATAGCTGAATCTCATGCAACAAGTATCAGGTCGCTCACCATCAACCTGGCTTAAATGTACCTTTGTTCTTTCTAGAAGGAGACAAATTGTTATCTTAGTTATCACTGAGGATAATATGAAGACAAGTTGAGCTATTTTCAGATTTAATTTGAGGTGTTGATACACGGATGTAGGTCTAAAATATCTTGTGCATATCATTAAGTTGAGTAAATGTTACAATTCATTCTCACTGCTGAAGATAATATTAATGTGGGTCCAGGAATTTTCAGTTTTAAGATCTTTGGGTTGCAGATACCAGTGTGTAGCCTTATAATTCCTTAATTATGTCTGGCAGTTGAACAAATGTTAATGTTTGTAATCGCTGCGGAGGATAATATTGGGCAGTTTTAGGATTTTTGACAGTTCTAAGATTGTGTGGTTTCCAGAGACTGGATCACAGATAGCTACAGGCCTATGGTCTACAAACAGAAGGGGGGAGTCAGGATCTCCTTGCATCTGCCAGAGTTACGGGACTTTGTCATGACTGTGTTTCTATATGAGACTGTGATACCTGACATCTTGTAATGAAAATATGATGAATATCATATAAGCTTATGCTGATATCCTAGTCATGGTTTACATAAATTTAAAAACAGATACACTTGTACAACTTTTGATTGGGTGCATTACTGTTTTGAAGTTGCACTTAAAATAAATGCTAGACGAATTCAAATCATTCATTCGATATACAATTTGTGTTTGTAAGCCAAATTTAGTCATAATAAGTGTTAGCTTTAGCATAAACACAACCAAATGATTCAGTATGTGGTTTGTATATGTTAACATGTTTGTTATGCTTCAAAATGGGACGGGTGGTGAAATGATATTGGATTACAGCCAGTTTTAGAACCCAACAAGACAGTCAGGGAGGTGACCCAAAGAGTTGCCTGCCCATCTTCAAAATTACCTGCCTGCATAGTCAGTATATACATAGAAAAATAACAAACAAAAAGAGACAGTTATTTTGGCCACTGATTACAGTTGGGTCTATATGAGAGTTTGTTATACGTGACATTAAACATCATGAACAACACACATGAACATATAGACTACGTAAGCTTGTTATCATGTCTTATGTCAATGACATAATGTAAGTGTGTATATGTATATGCTTCGTTTATTACTTATATATTTTATCCCAATCATAAGTGTCAAATGAGTATTACTATCAAAATTACATCTCTGAAATTGAACAAGGCATGACTGTGATAGTTATCCCGTTATTGCCCTTTAGACAACTGTATATAACCACAAAGATATTAACTCTCAGGGATAGAAATTAGCAGTAGCCTCCTATCCTGAGCTTGTTTCCCTAATGTTAAAGGTTTCCTGGTTGAATGTCTAACCTTTAGGGGCATGTTTCTGTAAGTTATCACTTTTCCTAGTGAGTTATTTCCTAGGTTAATCTGTATCCCTGACCAAAGGATCATTCATTGATAAAACCAATAAGATATTTACTCTGAAACCCAATCACCAGTAGAGGTGGGAAGCACCGGTGTGCGCTGTGATATTGTCTGTAGCTAGCAGTTCATGTTGTTCTGCAGATGTTATGCTTGCCAGGAAGACCAGATTTTTTCTTAAATTTGGTTTATGAAACCCACCACTCCAAAAATTTGAAATGGGGGAAAAAATGAAAAGCAGTGTTTTTTTCATCTACTGACCAGAAAAAAGTAAAATGTTAAAAAAACCAAGCTCACTTACTGTCACTTCCTACATAAATAAATTGTTTACAACACTATAATTATCTTGATCAAAACCTATTTATTTAACTTACAAATTTGAAAACACAACAAAATCTGACGAATCCCATTCCTCCAACCCACACTTATATTTTTCTCAAACCTAACTAACATTTTGAGGGAACAAAGAAAAATATTTGAGATTGCATGCTTTAAAAAAAATATATTTCACCTGCCGACCTGAATTTTTGGGCCAAAATTGGTAAAGCCCCACCCCCCACCCCAAAAAGTCTGTCTTATTCAGAGTAATAAATTATCTTTTTCAAAGGAATTTATTTTGTACTTCACGAATCTTGGAATGGGGTTTGTAAAATTTCTTAACAAGGAACAGATAATTACCAGTTATTCTATGAATAACCTTTTGTCTTACTTCGTCAGAAACTTCAGTAAAACGTAGGTTTGCCAGTCACTTACAAATAAACTATTGAGCTATTCTACTGATGTCACATACAAATTGTATGTGATGTCATTGCAACTGTTATTATGACTGCAGTGCTCTGTTATTTTGTCACATTTCTAACAGCCACTTGCAACAAATGGAACATATTTATTTACATTTTTCTCGTATGTGCCTAGTCATCTATGAAAGTTCTACACAGTATATTTTGTAGTTATCCAGTGATTCCTGTCTGTAGCAAGAAGCAAGACACTGTGTAGCTACATGAGCTTTGTCCATCACACAACTAGAGCTCTCTGTCTATGTTAAGACCCAAGCAACTATGCTAGTTTGCTCTGTGCAGTGTGATTCTGTATGTATATTACATAGCATTATTAATAGCATACTAATCACTGAACAATGTGACAGCATTAGAAATGAACACTAGCCTAAGACTAGCAACAGTTTGGCAATTACATGATAGTTCAATGCAAAACATGTACCAGTAACCGTTATCACATAGTGACATATGATGTTTGTTACCCCGGTTGAAGATCTGTTATTTTGTTGACTAGGCTGGAAGCAGTTTTTTATGATGTTGAACATAATTGTCATCAATGTATCTTTTCCATAGAGGTGTGACTAGTATCATGTAGATAGTAATATTTGGAGAGGTACTGAACACATTATTTCATCTGTTTTGTACATTGATTGTGCTGGTTGTGACATTCCAAAGGGGGGAAAATTAATGTTTTTCTCCTTTCCTTCCCTGTTTAATACCTATTTTTCCATAATGATGGTAATTGTTTGTTTCATAGATTGACAAAATGTAGTGAATATTTTGAATGAAGTGCTTGTTTATGGTGCACATCTTCCCAAGGCAAGAGAGTTAACTGACTATAAAAGTCCAGTTCCGCCTTTGGCGAACTAGGCTGGAATTTTGGGGCTCGATCGAGTCATGTCCCTTCTATGTCCCACCTATTGACCATTCAGATTCCACCTATCTTATCATACTTGCATTTGCTTCAATGAAAATGGCGGCGCCCAGTCAAGACAACCTAATACATAATCAAGATCTAAATTGTCACGGGTCTTACCTAGCAAAGTACATAAAAGTAGTTGAGTGCCTTGATTAAAAACTTGAAAAGATTTGAAAAGTATCTGTCAATGCCCAGTTTACACTACACATGCTTTGCAAATCCTGCAATCAACCAAAATGTGCATGACAGTTTACGAACCGGATGTTGATTTAATTCGTAATTTTGATTGGACTATGCATAGAATCGTTATTTCAGCCAAAATATAACTCCAAAATTCCAGCCTAGTTCGGGACAGGTGGAAACTGGACTTTATAGTCAGTTAACTCCCTTGCCTTAGGAAGACAAGGGTGCCTGATATTTGCAGAAATGTAAATAATGGATTATGTTAACTCCTTCTATTGTAGAACAGGGTTTTCCCTAGCACTTAACATCTAAGAGTTGAGATCCACATACAAATTGAACTCATGATTCGAGTTTCGTTTAAACTAGATTTGCTTCAAGGGTTTCATCTTTAATATCTAAGAAATCCCTAATCGGTCATGAAGCCACATATTCCTGAGGAACTTTGGTCATGATTTGAATCTGGATTCCTGTATGTGAGATTGTGTTAAATGTGTAGGATTCCTGGTGAGGGAGAACCCTTATAGATGTATAAGCCCTAGCTACAGTTCAGTAACTGAAGCTTTTTGTTGTATAGTGTTTGTGTACATACAATGTATCTTGTATCATCTGAATGTCAGACATTTTGTAATAATCCAAACATTCATTGAATAATAAATGTCAGTATTAAGATGATAAGAGTTTGTAATCAATGTTTCCCTACATGATGTAGGGAGTGCTTGCTGTATAGGACTCCATGCATGGTGCAAGTGAATTTGCTGTGAAGAGTTGTGTCCCTTGGGCACTCCAAACACCAATGATTATGGGTTCGAATAACAGTTTGCCCAAGTTCTGTTTCTAGGTTTGTCAGCTTCATACCCCTGCTCGATGTATACAGCGAAGTAGTGAATGTCTGAGACCTGCATCACTTTGGGCTTTCTTCCCACATCATGCTGACATGCTGTGTCACTTGAATACTCTTCAAAGTGGTGTTAAACCGAATTCACTCACTCACACTCAGTGACCAGGGGTGTGGAAATTGTAAATATTTTCACTTGTCCTCTTGCATGTAAACAGATCAACAAGTCTGACAGAACACCTGTCAGAGTTGAAAGCTATTTTGGGATGAGATCCTCTTAAACCAGCTGGTGTGTTATATCAGCATTCTATTTTGCAAAATACCCAGGACCAAATAATGACCATGCTTTGTTTCAGAAGGGATGTGACCATCTCCATCTATTTTATCATCAAAGCACAGAATTTCTCTCACTCATGAGCTTGAAATCGACAAAATTACTTTTGAACTTGAGTTGATCTGCTTAAAAAATAGGTGTCTAGTGCCACATGCATGAGAGCTACCCAAAGAGGTTTACAATGTATCAAAGGGATGTTATATATGAATTTGTGGCTGGAAAATATTGTTTCCTGAGTTTGAAAAGGAGCAAGAAGTCCTTATGCTACCAGGCATCCCAATTATATTTTGTTTTTTACACCAGGTGAGGCGAGTAATTGTGACACCATGAAATAACAGTTCAATTTGATTAGAGAGTTATTTTAACATTGTGTCATTCAAACCAGACTCCCAAACGAAGATATGGTGGTATGTGTGTGACAGGTATTTATCATATGATAAGATATGATACACTGGAAAGTCAGGGAGGGATGTGCATATGCTGCGTATGCTGGATGATTGTGGGTCATAACATGACATCATTGATCTTTACTCATGCTATCTACCTAGGGAGTGACTCAGACTTAATAATTCAAAGGCAGTAGTCACTACTAGTCAGGTAGCTGTAATACGACATACATTCACTCCCCCGTGAAGATCCAGGGAAGAATAAGTCTTCAGCAACCCATTCTTGCCGTAAAAGGGACTATGCTTGTCATAAGAGGCAACTAACGGGATCAAGTGGTCAGGCTTGCTGACTTGGTTGATGCATCTCATCGTATCCCAATTGTGTGGATCGATGCTCATGATATCAATCACTAGATTGTCTGGTCCAGACCCGATTATTTACAGACTGCCGTCATATAGCTGGAATATTGCTGAGTGCAGCAAACAACAAACAAACAAACCAAACCACTTGAAATGCATGAACATAATGAATTCAAGATTCTATGCAAAACAAAAACCTTTTGGATCAATATGGTATCTCAAATTACATGAACAAAGCATCAGCTGTCTGTTTTGAAAGTATTTTGGTTTAACATCCAACTTGGCAATATGACTGCAGCCTGTAAATAGTCTAAACCAGACAATCCAGCTTTTGATATGTGCAGCGATTCACACCGTCGGGGAATAATATCACACAATCAACCAGGTCGCCAAGCCTGACCAGCTGATCCAATACGTCACATCTTACGACCTGTTGTTGCAGCTCCTGTAAACCGACCAGCTTGGGACCTATCCTAGCCCGGAATCTCCACGGGGCTTGCATTTGTTGTTACAGCTTCTGTACACTAACCAGCACACGTTGCTAGTGACCAATCCTAGCCTGGATTACCCACAGGGTTATCTGCTGTTACAGCTTCTGCAAACCGACCAGCACACAGTGCTAGTGACCAATCCTAGCCTGGATTACCCACAGGGTTATCTGCTGTTACAGCTTCTGCAAACCGACCAGCACACGTTGCTAGGGACCAATCCTAGCCCGGACTACCCACAGGGTTATCTGCTGTTACAGCTTCTGTAAACCGACCAGCAAACGTTGCTAGGGACTAATCCTAGCCCAGATTACCCACAGGGTTATCTGCTGTTACAGCTACTGTAAACCGACCAGCAAACGTTGCTAGGGACTAATCCTAGCCCAGATTACCCACAGGGTTATCTGCTGTTACAGCTCCTGGACATCAACAAGTCAGACCACGTTAAGTTTGGATGCTTTATTCAACATGATGCTTACCATTATGTACATGACTTGATGGCCACAAACAGGTCAGCTTGCTACTACCTCATCCTGCTGGAAATACTGGCTCCTCACAACATATTCCACATCTCCTCAAACACCTTCTCAGTAACAACATAGTCATCGGCCACTACACATAGGTCTATCAGTCTTGGATTTGTTTGCTAAAATCATGAAATGACAAATTCATCCTGAAATGAATTTTTTTCCTTTACAATGTATTTTTCTGAACAAAAATATTCCTCAAACCCGACTGCCAGCTAGATCATTTGTGAGATTTCTTATGTTTAAGCTCCCAATTCCCAAACTTTTAAGTGTACACATTCACATTCCTTTGCTTTCACCATTGAATGCAGAGACATCAAATTAGTGTGTCTTGTCAGACAGCAGTGGATAGACTATGAAATGTCAACAATTCAGGAATGTAATTAATTGTGGCTTCAGCATATGTCAAAGACTGAGCAAATGTAAATAGCATGGTACACTAAGTACATTAAAACAGCTTAAATAAGTAACCTTAGCAAAAATTTCAAATCTGGGTATAATTAATGATTCAATTATGTATAATATTGAACAACACTACCAAACGAAACATGGTTGTACTCATTTTCTTAAGGCGAAATCCCTTAAGTCTGAAATTAATGTATTATATAACTGTATTACAAACATATTTTCAGCAGAATGATATATAAGTACTGCATACAAAAACACATAAGCACAAAGTTGTTGAATGACCTACTAAAAATCTTACTGCATGATTACCATCATCATGACACCATATGGAATGAAGGTCAAGGCCATGACACCATATGGAATGAAGGTCAAGGCCATGACACCATATGTTATGAAGGTCAAGGCCATGACACCATATGAAATGAAGACCAAAGCCATGACACCAAATGGAATGAAGGTCAAGGCCATGACACCATATGGTATGAAGGTCAAGGCTATGAGTCAAATAGGTAATATGACAATCCAGTGATCCACAATAACTTATTACCAGCCCTGCAGACTGGACAGAGGTTGAGGTTGTAACAAGCCGTACATGTGATGCTTGATGATAGGCCTGTGGTTAGGAATGATAACAACACAGGGACACGAGGCGTGGAGATTAAGCTGATATACCATAGAGCACTAACAAAGAACCAACTGTGCTGTAACACATACATCAACAAACAGTAAGCAGCAGCCAATGAAAACAAGGATTTATATACAATACGGTCTCGTGACACCTCATGCATATGCATGAGGCAGGGCATGTCTTGTGAGGACTAACACTGTTTGGAATATAAAATGTTTCAATGTTGACTTTTCAACTTTGAGTTCCATATTGAGTTTATAAATGTGTCATAATCTGATTTTTTCAGCTTTAATTCAAATGTGGCAAATCAACATCTGTTATATATTTTCGGGAGATACCTCTAACATCTGAATACTTCAAAGCATAAATCTATCTCAAGACTACATGCCCTACCTTCACAGTGCTGTCAGAAGATGATGTTACAGAATCATATTTGGGGCCTTACAGTATTACTCTTCAGCTCTGATCAAGCATATTGTATCATCAGCTTCTGATGACGCTGTAACCTGCATATGAGCAGACGGCAGCCTTGTGTATTCTGGCTGTACACTATTGCCTCTATGACAGAGAGCCAGGAAGATCACAGATGCAACATTGCGGATATTTATATACATAATACTACCAAGCCAGCACTTGCCAGGGTGTAGTTTTATCACAATTCATCCTCTCTCTACAACATGAAGCTGTCTTGTTGGGAGAGGGAAAAAGCTAAGAACACTGATGGCACAAAGAGTTTTTCTTCAGTGCAACTGTCAAAATCTTGGATATTCAGCTCTTGCAAAATACCTCTTGCCATGCCCTAACATGACGTTCTTTTCATGTTCTTCATCAGAATATCATCAAACTGTGTTTGGCAACACCATAATATTTAGCGGTTTATGGGTTCCTTTCAAAACGTTCACTTCTTTACATGAAAAGTAGTTTATTTAACAAGACATCATTTACTAATGTTCATTTTTTTCTGCAAATTGCAACATGAATCTTGTCTTGATTTTGGGTATTTTTATTAACTTAAACCACAAGAAAGTGTAGCAGAAACATGTTTAGAAAAGACATTTTAAGCTCTAGCCAAGCAAGACACTTCAGGCAGTGTACTTTTCACTCTGACAAATGGTAAATACCTTGATGTTATTTTACCATTAAACAAGTATAACACAGTATGCAAAATAAAACATAAAATTCATTTTTCACATTTAAAGTAAGCTTAAAATACAGTTTGTCACAAATGTGTAGTTATTTACCAGTAAAGGATTCTCCCATTACAAGAATCATTAGTTATCTCCCTTACATCCCATTCAGAGTTATCTCCCTTTGTACAAAAGTTACATTCACATAGATATGTTTTAAGGAATAAATTTAAATATACATGCACGTTTCTCTATCATATTTCTTTTGATTTATTACTAGAATATGCTACATATTCACGATGTAATCTGTTCATGTGTAATATGATGACCGAGTGTATGTTTGTAGTAATTGCATGACATGTGACACACGACACATGACATTAACAATGTACATCTGATGGAATGTAACACAGCATGAGTATCATATGATTCCAACATGAAGATGACAAACAACCGGCCGAGGCCTGAACAGAGCTATACAAGAAGCTGAATATGATACACCTCTAAATACAAGTGATCCAAATTGAGTAAATACAGATCTAGATGGCTCATTCATGTCTTCTAAAGGCCAGACCAAATGGTCCTGTTTTAATTTCTCGTTTAACCAAATTTCTAAGCAAAGGTGCAGGAGATGAATATTTATGCCAGGACTAACTGATCACAATATATACATGTACACACGGAAACACTTTGAAAACAGATGTGTTCTCGTGCCCAATTCCATCTCCAAACACATCGAATGAGATTCGAACCCATATGACGACATTTTTGTGTTTGATTATCTCATGCCGAAATACCCAGAGCAACTTAATTTGATATTTTGGGGCCATTTTGCCAAATATTTCAAAACATTGTATATGTGTTTTCAAAGTGTTTCAGTAAACTAAAATTTGACATAATTAATAACCATAAAATATCATAATATATCTTTGTTACAATGGTATTCTTTAACAGAAATAAAATAATTTGTTCTGATAACATGGGGCAAAGGTTAGAGCAAGCTCTTCCGAAATATATGGAACCACTTGGACTGGCCTGAGTTTCTCAACCGAAATCAAGAAGAAACCTGCCAAGCTTCCATGGCGCAGGTAATGATTGGTTAAACAATACAAACTCAATAGTACCAGTACAAACTCAATAGTACCAGTTTATACAGTGTGTAACATGAAGTCAATATATAAGGTTAATAGGTCATCTGATTTTGTTCCTGTCAAGATATCAGCGTCTAATATCCAAATCAAACATGATCTAAACATTAGACATACATCATGATATTTAAGTGCAAAACCAGGAATCGGTTCATAGCAATACCTTGTCTTTATCAACAATGAATGATTTAAAATCTCATAGTTGAACATTAGAACTCCATCCATCTTAACATCCATACTGTGAAACATCTGTCTTTCATCATCATCATCATCATCATCATCATCATCATCAGTCTTCAAACATCCATAAATCATCCAATATTATCAAATAGATACAACCTATTACTCGGACAAATCGATTGCCATCTAAACTGTCCAAATAAGGCTATGATAAAAAAAAATATGAAACTTTTTATGCCTGTTAGGCTCATTTGAGAAGCCCCTGTCAAACCTTTCAGCCATAAAGGCCTTTCATTGCAGCCATACCATGTAACCATGGTAACTGGCAAAATGGCTCATCCTGGAAAGACACTTTCAAATAAACAAGGTAACTTAAAAAAAAAAAGTTTATCAATTTTAAAAAATTTTTTATTGAAACTCTAGAAAAAACCACATTGAAGCCTAAAGGGTTTCAAGAATACTAAAACATGAACATAGAATAAGCCATTAATATTAACCAGGACAGTTAGGTTTCCATGGAAATAAGGTATGGAATAACAAGTTTCCATGCAACATTTATGTTAAACATCCCCATCAACCTTAAATGAACACCATGGCCAGATCCTAGCACCAGCACTGGGATCAATACATTGATCAAGGGAACAAACCTAACCACCAATGACAGTGATGAAATATAAATAAAAGACAGTTAAACAAGCTTGTTCATGAGAACAGCATGGCATGATACAATATCTAAGGATGCTGGGATGAAAGCATCAATGTTATCCCTCACAGCTTCAAGTCCTTGTTCTTGGTTTTTCAGTTTGATAAATAGTTTTAGGAAAATAGTCTTCATTCCCCAACAATAATATCAGTAAAATATGCCAGTATGGCAGCAACTGTTTTCTGCTTGAAATCGGAAAAACACCCACTAAAAAAGAGATAGTCTACACTAACATTAAAAAATTCACTGTTGAAGAATGAACTCTTTTTATCCTTAAGTATTAGACCACAGAAGAAAATAATTGAAATAACAAAATTGTCATTTAGTGTTTCCTCATTTAACATAACTCTTCAAATCTTTGACAATTTTGAAAAAAATAACCTTCACCATTAGACCTTTTTCGTAAATACATATTTCGTACGTTTATACCACAAAACCTGTATCAGCATGTGCATGTACATGCTTCATAACAAGAAAGCACCAATATGAAATGGAACCCAGCTAGGAGGAAATTGCATGTGTGCTACCCTTTTCCATAATGCAGCAAGGTATCCAGGTACTTCACAAAACAAACACGGGGCACAGAACATAAGTGAGGTAACACAGGGCCCAAAAGTACAAATTCAGTGCAATTTCATTCAAATAACATCTCATACTCCAACTTGATACCTCTCTGCATGAATGAGTGAGCTGGGTTTAACTCTGTCTGAACAGTCTTCCAGTTACATCATGGCGTGTCAGCTTAATGTGGTTGGCAAGACTGAAGTGATGCATGTCTCAGACATGTTTAACACTTTGGTGAAACCCACAAGCATGGGCATGGTGCTGTCAGACCTGACATAGTAGGGGTGAACCTGGATTCAAAATCATGATTTATAGGTTTCTGGTGTTCCTAAGGGACGCAACTCTATACAGCGTAATATTGGCACCCTAGGTGACTGGGCCACCTGTGCCCACCCCCGCCCCTCTCTGCACGAAGATCTGGCAAACTCATGTCAGGTGAACTTTGACTGAAGGATGCATGTCAGTTTTTTAAAACAATTTCATTTCTTTATCACCTCCATTTGGAAATTCTGATCTCAACAAGGTGCATATAATATACACAATATATATAGCACAGTTGTCATTATTTTCCATTCAGAACTTCCATCTAAGTTCATTTTCCAGATACTGAAATCGGATATGTTGAAATGAATGCATTGCTTAGAAGCCTTAATGCTGATTGGCTGATACAACTCACTGTGGAGGGTATGTCAGTCACCTACATAAGGAGAGGTATTAATTCAAAGTAAAAGAGGCGATTTTAAAGCAGTTGAATTCAGTGAAACTCAAAGTCCTAGGACCATAGAAATATATAAAGATATCCATACCATTCAAGACAAATGGTGCGTCATAGAACTGATAATGGTTCGACCAAGAGGTAACACTGTCTTCATTGCATTTATGGAGTTCAGGACAATAGGGTTTCGATGGATCTTTTGTAGACTGAATTACTTATTAGGTCGTATTTAGGACCGTAATGGTCACCTGACCTTGACCCTTAACTATCACTGAAATATGACCTATTTATACCCGACCATTGACATTACTGTGTATGGTAATGACAATATTGTCTTTTACCATTGGCATCAATGGAATATAATACATTTTTCTTACACCTCTGATATATTTCAGATAAAGTATAGTTTGTCGAAATGTGTTGGTGTGCTTGACAAAGTTGCAACAGAAGACAAGTCAATGGCAGAGCTATAATAACCGCTGATTCAGCAATAAGTCATGAAATTGAAAATCAATTACATTGTCACTTTTTTTACATGCAAGAAACACGACTATAAAACACTGATTGAAGGAGATTAAATATTTGAACATAAAGATTAACAGAAAGAGGAAATAGATATATATATATGAAATATTCAAAGTCTTTTTACTGAGAAGAAAGATGGTGTTCCTCACTAAATCATAACCAAATGGATTCTGCCTACATCTTGATTTGAATTGTTTTCTTCAAGATGATTCCTAAGTCTTTCTAATCAATATGTCCTCATAGCGGTAGGTCTATAAATAATTCACACATCCATCAAGTTTCATTCTTTCATAACATTTAACATAGACTGTACAACCATAAACACTGTCAGTGCTGACAGCCGCCTCACACAGCGTCTCATCACTGATACATACACACTAGTGTCATGACACTGGGGGTGTGGTACTCACTGCTCCGACAGCGGCCTCACACAGCATCTCAGCACTGATACATACACACTAGTGTCATGACACTGGGGGTGTGGTACTTATTGCTCAATAGCCAAAGGGTATATCAGTGACAAGCCTGGGACATACATGGTTGGTGCTGTAGTTTGGGGTGTATTACTCAACATAATTGTACTTTGTATCATATCTGATACTGAGCGTTGTTGTACGATACCACACCACCATGCCACTGTATCATGGCACACTTTACATCAGGCCGATGTCAATTAATTATTACATTATCACCCCTGTTTTTTAAGTGCAGTAGGAGAGATTTGATTTGGGATTTGTTTCAAAAAAAGAACATGAAGACCAAATTGGTCATTTTGGCACACTGACTTGAGTTTGTCCCAACCGAATAACAAATAAGGTGAGTAAGGTGAGGTGTATTGTTTTATGCAATATTACAGTATGTAGGAGAACAGAATGGGCTTTATCATTGTACCAGTACCTATGAAAATGAAACCCAGCTCAAGGCGATGAGTTAATGCTTTAAACACATGGCTACCCCACCACCGAAAGGTGAGGAGAGGTGTTAGCAAGGGGCTGATAATATAATGATTGATTCATACTGGCCCAACATGTAATATTTGCCACATTGTCAAAGTCAATCAATATGCGAAAAAAGTTATTTAGTTTGTCATTACTTTTATGATGAAATAATCACATTAGTAATTCAAACAATTTCGTTTGTAAAATATTAATTTTTGAAAATAAAAATCACGCCACATTATGAGGATGAGAATACTGAACATGTCACAGGGTGATTAGCAAAATCATCACAGATGAAAATCAATACAATGTGAATCATGAAGAACATTGTGCCCATAAAAACAGCAATCGCAGAATGATGTGATTCAAACAGGTATTGTGAAGAAAATACGAAATACTAGTAGTTCATACATGTTGTCATCAGATTATGTTGGTAGTTGAAAGTTTGTAGTTGAAGTCATAAAACATTGATACTTGATGACACTCTCACAGCCAATGATAGGTCCGGGTCACCACAGGTACCATCAGCCAGGGGTGAAACAATACTGCTAGGTCACGATACGATACATATCACAATACATAGGTTATGATATGATACGCATCACAATACATAGGTCACGATAAGATACTTATCATGATACGCATATTTACGTAAAAACGCATGGAAACTTCTTGACAATAAATATTTGAGAGCAGGTTCAAAAGATAAAGCTAGCTGAAGACACATGTTCGTAGCTGCTATTTTTAGTAGTGAACTTGAAAATCTAATTACAACACATTTCGCATTATCTGACTGACAAAAACACCAGGGGTCATTAAAACTAGTAGTAAGTAATTTATTTCAGTAAGTGTATCGTCTTGTATCGATACAAAAAAAAATGTATTGTGTACCAATAGCAGAGGACCCCAGCATGGCAATATTACAGGTGTTGAGGTCAGGGCAATTCCATTTTTACAATACACAGTTCCTTTCCAGATTTGCGTAGTCTAAACTTCTGGTAAACATTCAATCATGGCAGTGCTTCAGAATTTACTTACTGCTTCAACAAATCCATGGCCAGATCATAATATTCTCATTCTTTCTGGTAGGGGAATATGAACTGTTACTCATGTCATATTGCACAGGAAACTGACTTTACTGATCCCAGTGCCATGGGTCTTGCCAAGCTAGGGTACCCTTGGTGCATTTGCAAATACAGAAAGGTACCTGGGCTAAATTTCTGTAGTACCTGTGCAGACATCGACCCTAACATATATCTTCCTTGTTATTTCCTGTGACAATTTGAAACCATTTTCCTTCATGGTTTACCAATAGTGCACCAATGAAATGAGTGAGGAAACATTAGTATAACATGCTGTACATAATCAGGATCAAATTGCTAAACACTAAACATCGGGAAGCCTGTTGGAGAAGGATCATTCAATTGATAGACTACTTACGCAACATATGATACAAATATACAACACACATTTCTCAAATAACTTCTACATCAGGAGAAATGTCCAGAGTGTCAAGACAGCCAGAATCTACAATCTATTGATGAAACTGAGACTCTCAACAATTCGGCTAAACACCCTTTGAGCAGCTTAGTGATGTATTCATTGATGGAAATGATCAATTTTGGCATGACTTACATTTTCAAATTTTAAAAATCAGAATCGAGAGATGATAGTGTTATCTTCAACTGATCAGATTTTGATTGAACGCTACATTTACTTAATGAAGTAAGATGGTGGTTATATAACCCATACATTCTAAATGGAATCTTCCTGTCTTTGTTGTTGGATCAGTCTACTCTGGTGTGGGGTAGTCCCCTTCGTCGGTTAGTCATTCCAGGTAGATGTCCTCTGTGGGATGGGAGAAGGCCATGTATTCCTGGTAGAATCTCTTGAAGGATTTGCTGGTGACAAGAAAAAGGTTCAGGTGTTGATAATATCCATTTGGTTTGAAATATTCAGGGTAACAACTTTGAGATACTGTACATGTACATTTTATGCAGTCTCAAAGCTGATTGGTCAGTTGAACAAATATGACATCATTGCTTTTGGAAAATGAGGTCACCCCCTTCATTGGGTATAGGCAGCAATGACTTGTTCAGACACTGTCACCAATCAATCCTAATTCCCGTCTGCTCTTAGGGAGCAACCATTTTATTTCCGATCTTTTATTATTATTATTTTTTTTTTTGGAGGGGGGGAGCAAGGCATATGTGATTTGTTTCCAGTAAAACAAGAGGCTTGATTATTTTCCTTCAAGAAGAAGAATAAAATCCCACCCCTCCCTGAAAATCAAATGGTTGCTCCCTCACAACAAACATGTGGTACTGGGGTCCTATTCTGAGCCATAGGCACAAGATAATGATTCAGGAGCAAGTTAATCAAACGTCGCTTCAATTCCTCACCTTAATGCATCGGTTATAGAGTGGGTTGTCCTCTCTCCTAGAAACACATGGCAAGCATAGCGCGAATCTTTGGGATGCTTCGTAATAAATGCAAAATACCTGAAAAACACAAATACATTCACTAAGAAACATGTATATAAAATTGTTGACAAATGTTTATTTTAGTTTAAAAAGGTATGATTTCCAAATGTCAGAAGTTAAATACGACCTGTAAATCTGAAATAAAAGTGCTTGAAGCATTGATTGTTACTGAATCTGGAACAATAAATAAATACTCACTTGTTATTTCTTGGATGTGTACCACAATAGGAAATATTTTTCAATGCGAAAAAGTGGGAGAATGCATCACTTTCATGCTGAAATAAGAAAAAAAATATCCATTTGAACTTTTTATTTACTGTTTATTTGGTTATTTTGTTCAGATACATGGCACATGATAAATACAAGTGTGAATTCATGTCTTGTATGTTCACACAAATACAGCTTCAATTAAGACTAAAAGAGACTACAGACATAGAAATTGATTTGACAGAAATTCTACACCATCTATACAATATCATCAAACCAGATCTTTACGCTGAATCAATACCTCTCTCCATGAACGTCAGACAAATCCTCCCTAGGACGTCATGTCGGGTGAACTTTTTAATCAGCCAATCAGTATGGAGGAATAATCATTTTCAGTATGAGTGAGTGAAGCATGCAGATCATCATATCTGATTTCTGTTATCTCTATAATGAATGATAAGAGGCTGTTCCGAGTGGAGAACGTGACAAACAAAAATTAACATCGTGTTGATTTCTGAGCGTCATGACAGCTACACCCAAAAGGGTGCACTATCAGGGGAATGTTTTTGTCTTGCACAGGGTTTTCTTTGCTAGGATGAAATTTCTAAGTCAAGTGACAGATAGTGTGATTTTACAAAAGACCTTGTTGACAAAATTAAGAACATGGTGAAGCCAAGTCGATATAGAAAGTTAAAACTGACTGGCTCAAAAACCAAAGCATCTTTCCTTTTGATTGGGCGGTCAAGGTTTCCTATGGGTTCACCTAACATGGCTTCCTATGATGGGTTTTCAAATCTTAACACAGAGAGGTATCAAATCGGAGTAACAGACTTGATGTTGATGTGTGTGGATGTTTTTGTGTGTTATTTGAAGTGAAAGTGATTGACTGGTAATAAAGGGACTCACTCCCTCCTTGCTCTTGTCTATCATGCGGATCCCATACTGGCTGACCTCCATCGTGCACATTGGCGGCGGAGCTGAACTCATCGTTGTACGGCGTGCTATCGCAACCTGAAAAACAATAATAAACTCCAGTTTAGCAACCTATAAATGACATCTTTCATGAAGACAATGCTGTACCTATTATACCTACTGCATACCAATTATTTAAATGTTTTTCTTATTCTTTCATTGTCATTGGCATAAAACACACTTGTCTTTCAATTGAAAAGCTATGAGTATCCTTCTTTTTCATACACAAATACCTTGAACAGTTTGCTTAAAAGAAAATATTTATAATTATATGCCAGATTCCTGAAAGATTTGAATGAGAATCTAATGGTTAATGCACTGGGGCAAACATGACCCTGACACCACAAAAGGAAATGACCCTCACCTTGTTGATCGCCTGGCTGAGAACCTCGTCTCCCTTGTGGTAGTTGACCTCTACTGACCCCAGGAAGCGGATTGTGAATTTCAAGTAATCCTCCTCATCTGTAATCAGAGAAATATGTAATAAGCTTCTATCCTCACTGCATTACTGTCTTTCGAATTTGGTCCCCCTGCTACAAATCAGAGAACTTTCTAAAGTGATGAATTCCATGGCAGATATTCCAATAAATATTCCAGTATAGATAAAAATAAACATGTTTCGTGATGATTCATGTTTAAGGTTACAATTGAAAACATCAAAAATCATTATGTGTAATTTTTTTCCAGTATTATTTCTGAGGCTCTGGTATTCCGAGTTTTCGTATTTCCTTGAGGACGTACCTGATTCCTCCTCTAGGAATGTTAGGTCTGTGGCATACATTGCGGGGAAGATGCCCTTCTGACCTGTCCGCAGGTTCACACCTGGAAGTAACCAGCACAGGGTGAGTCAATGTCATATGCAATAGTACAGTTTTATTCCACATAGCCTGGCCCAGACAAACCAGTGGTTGATGATATGAGCAATGATCCACGCCACCAGGGCGATGATTCAGGTTTGGAGGTCGTAGATCTGGGTGTCAGATGGAGTATTGTTGTTACTGTTAATCCTCCACCTACCATACATATTCTGTGTCATGTTCATTTTTCAGCCTTTAAAAGTCTCCATTACAGTAAAATAAAGAAGTTGTTATCCATAAACTGTGTCTACTTTGTCCTGATCCTATTTAAGTTCAGAAATTTATCATGTTGCTTCAAATATCCTTTAACATTTAGAAATATCTGAGTACAATCGTATATCCTTGTCTGATTGTTTTTAGTTTGTTTGTTTGTTGTTTAAAGCCGCACTCAGCAATATTCCATCTATATAACAACGGTCTGTACATAGTCAAGTCTGGACAAGACTTTCCAGTGATTGACATCATGAGCATCAATCTATGCATATGATGACATGCATCAACCAAGTCGGCCATCCTGACCACCCAATCCTGTTAGTCGTCTTTTACAACAAGCATGGGTTGCTGAAGACCAATTCTGACCTGGAGCTTCACGGGTTCCTGAAGGTTTAAAATCATTTTGTCATACTGCCAACTGACATCAATAACATTAATATTATATCTAAGGTCTGAAATATCCAGCGTGTCTGCTTACAATACTTGCAGGCATACTTTCACAATTTTCAATTCTCTCGAATTTAAGATAAATCCTATTTTGATTACTTCCATACCTTCACACCACAAGTCGTCCGACTCCTTTATGACGTGTATTGGGTCGCCGATTTCTATCGTGATTTCATCAGCATGGCGGGGAATGAAGCGATGCATCCCTCGATGTGTCACCTCCAATTCTTGAAATACAGACGTCGAAACAAAACTGGTGGAAGATGTGGAATCTCGCTTCGATCCTTCAAATAATAATAACAGAAGTTATCCAAATGTGTCATTTTTGCAAAAAACAACAACAATAAATCATGCAATTAACCCAATTAAGAGGTAAGGTTAGGTTAGGTTAGGTGAGATTACTATGGTGATCTGAAATGGGGTTTAATGTCGCATCCAAGATTATTGCACTTATATATAGCGACGTGCATGCATGTGTGTATGTGTGTGTGGCTGCTTGTACTAGTCCAGACTAATGCCAATTTTATAGTGCTAGCCCACTGAGATACCATGCCGCAGTTTAACATGAATACTCCACTCAGACACAGTATACTGACTCCGAGCCGACCAGTCCTTGTTTTAGCCCCTTAATGCCGAGCACAAGGCAGGCTAACAACAAGTACCATCTTTTAACGTCTGTTGGTACATTGTGGCTGGGGATCGAACCCCAGACCTTCAGCCCTCTGGGCAGACGCTCTACCACTAGACCACGCTCTACCACTTGACCAGGCGGCCTAACCCAAGGTCATGGGGCTTCATTAGTGGTTATTCTTTCACAAAGAGTGAGTGAGTGAATACGGTTTTACGCCGCTTTTAGCAATATTCCAGCAATATCACGGAGGGAGACAACAGAAAAGGGGCTTCACACATTGTACCCATGTGGGGAATCGAACCCGGGTCTTCGACATGACGAGCAAATGCTTTAACCACTAGCCTACCCCACCACCCTCCATCACAATGAAATACACTGATGAATGTGATAAAACACATGAACACTACAAATAACACTGGAATTATCGAAGACACACAGATACATGATTATCAACCCATTGAAAGTCTAAATATCTACACACAATATCAATAGACCATCAATGATGGTACTTTGTACAGGCTTTGTGCCACTCTGTGCAGACTGAAGTTTTTATTATGGAATGAGATATACATCCAAAAAGTACCTAACTTAACCAAAAATGCAAATAAGAGAACAAAATATTCAAAGCGTCATGTGAAAATACTAACAAAAAATATTTGTATTCTTAAAACAATGACTCTCAGCCAAATGTTTCAGTGAATCATTTGTCACTGTCGAAGTAATATAGAACAAGCTCATGAACTTGAACTGATGCCTGAATCATGTGAATAGTTATCCCCAAAAAGATTCATAAAAAAGACAAGCATACAATACTATTTCTTGCTTTTTTCAAAGAATCTTAGTCAACATTACAACAAATTAAATGCTGTTTGACTTCATTTGAGATTTTCTTTCCCAGAACACTAAACAAACAATAACTATGTACTTTTCAGTCAAACACAACCTTTTCATATATCTCTTTATAAAATGATGTCAAACAGTAAAATATATTGTTTGTCCTAATAAGTATTTCTTGCTTGCCCCTTTATTCCAACATAATACATCAGTTTCCCTTCATAAGATGGCTGTTTCTAACAAAATCAACTGGTAGATGTAAATTCAATCTCAGTAAAATCAGATCTTAGTTATCGCTATCGCTTAACAAAGATCTGAGGACATCCCATTACTCGTGACGTCAGAACAACTTTTCATCCGACTAATCAAAGCGGCGCTTACCAGATCCTGAAAGTGACAGTCAGAATGTGTTTTCTAATCATGCAACCTCGAAAACGTTAACACGGGGTATTCCGAACAACAGTTACAGCCCCTACGACTGATTCCGTAAAAATTGTCATCTATCTCTCGCTTTTGTGGGATAAACATTTGAACAGAGGAGGCATTGCACCTTGTGGGAAGCACTGCCATACAATCTCCACCATATATTAGACATTCTGGAATGTTCGTTTGTTCAGTTTTTTAAAAATTTTAATCAAGAACTGTGTTAACATATTTTTCAAGCGTAGTCTAAAATGGAAGTCACCAGGTTGAAACGAGTGCCGTAAAGCCTGAGAAAGCTGCTTTCTAATTGGCTGATGTCGACTTCTTGTTAGTAATTTTCAGTGGTTGGTCAAAGTTCACGAAAGGTCGTTCTGACGTGACCCATAATGGGATGTCTTCACATCTTTCTGTAGCGGCAATGAGAACTTAGATCTGATTTTAATGAGATTGATGTAAATTTGAATTATAATGTTCAATTTAATGTTTGAACTGTTCTGTTTAAAGAATATGTTCTGATCACTATATATACTCCAAGTAAAATAATTGTTTCCCTCAATCATGTGTCAATACCGCTGTCTTGATCAACATTACCGTATTTTCTTGAGTATAAAGCGCACCCACCTCTAGTGGATTCAGTATTTTGAAAAAAATATTTTGAATATTGTGCGAAGAAAAGAATTACACCATACTCCTTCGAAAGCAAATTCCGGTAAACGAACTGGTGATAAGAAACATGGCCAGTACAAATTTGAAATTTGAGATAAAAAAATCACCAGACATGTTGATTTACCTTTTAAATTGTATTTTTTGTTCTGCCAGGCATTGTTTTTTACATGCAGGGATTAAGATTACTGTTTGTATTTTCTTGCAAACTAAGCCAGAAACAGCAATCAGCTGTACACACGTTTTCTTGGAATCTACCGGTGATTTGGTTAAAACTTACCCTATGATATAACTTTAAAGGATTTTGATGCAAAGATCTGGAAAAAATGTATCTGAAACTATTTTTTATGAGGAATAATATATTCCCACATCATGTTATTTTTGTTGCAGCTTTTACTTGATATATTTAAAATAATAAAAATAATAATACCGTATTTGACGTAATAAGCGCCCCGCTATAATAAGTGCCCACGGCAATATTTGCTAATATATTGGCTAGTGAACAATCCCAATTAGCCCCCCTTCCGATTTATCAATGTACACAAGACTTATTTATTCGTGTAAATACGCACACGTGTGTTATATGCACCCTTAAGTATGGGCATTTATATTCTGGAAAAATGTATCTGTCGTATATAAACAGTTCAGACTGTCAGCACAAACCACGAAATTTATCTTTCAACTCTGTTTTTTCCACCAAAGTAATGTTCTAATAAGAGCCCCCTATTTCTAATTTTGAGAGCGCCCTGGGCGCTTATTACGTCGAATACGGTAATAATAATAATAGTACTTTGGTGAAGCTGATCACTATGTCTATTTTGATCAATACATCTGATTGATATGCCTAATCTGATCAATACATCTGCCAGATATGTCTATTCAGATCAATACATCGTCTAATCACTATGTCTATTTTGATCAATACATCTGACGGATATGCCTATTCTGATCAATACATCTGACGGATATGTCTATTCAGATCAATACATCGTCAGATCACTATGTCTATTTTGATCAATACATCTGACGGATATGCCTATTCTGATCAACACATCTTCTGATCACTATGTCTATTTTGATCAATACATCTGATTGATATGCCTAATCTGATCAATACATCTGACGGATATGCCTATTCAGATCAATACATCGTCTGATCACTATGTCTATTTTGATCAATACATCTGAAGGTTATGCCTATTCTGATCAATACATCGTCTGATCACTATGTCTATTTTGATCAATACATCTGACGGATATGCCTATTCTGATCAATACATCTGACGGATATGCCTATTCAGATCAATACATCGTCTGATCACTATGTCTATTTTGATCAATACATCTGATCAATTTGCATATTCTGATCAACAAATCGTCTGATTACTATGCCCATTTTGATCAATACATCTGATCGATATGCCTAATCTGATCAATACGTCTGATCGATATGCCTATTTTGATCAAAACATCTTCTGATTGACTCATAAAACCATAAATGCACCTGCACAGATCAAACATATTTATCAATACAATTTCCTAAGTAATACCAATATTCTGATCAATGCAAACAAACTGATCAATACAATTCTTGTGATCAATAAGACTAATCAGCTCCATCTCAACACTCCGATCAATACTGCCACTGGTGGATACAAGTACTCTGATTCCTCTAACAAATGCTCTGATCAATGTAAATGTTCTGCATTACCATCTTCATCGGAACTGTTCTTCCTGCCTCGCCCACTGGAGGAGAGCGGAGACTTCCGCCGCTTGCACGAGGAATCCTCAATAATTAGTTGATTATCTGAGTCAGTGTAAGTTCTGGTATTCCTAGACACAGCACTAAAATAAAGGTATTTCTCCAGAATATTGTCCCGAGGCTTCCTGGCTGTTGTAAACACATCATCATTTTCCTCCTTCTCTATAGCTTCCTTCAGCTCGTCAGCCAGAGAGCGCACCATCTCCGCCGGCTGGGGTTCATAGCCTGCAGATAGGAAAATAGTATTTACAACTTATAGTTCCCATTGTTACACTATCTTTGCTGGCTTGGGTTATAGCCTGCAGTTAGGAAGCTATCATTTACACCTTACATTTCTTACTGTAACATTAAATAATGATCTCTGCTGGTGGCACACATTTGTTCCATCAGACAGAAAAATAGCATTTACACGAGGGCTGCACAGGTAAGTCGGTACTCAGGTCGGTGGGTACTGTGTAGGACCCAGGTACCCACATGACTACCCTGACCCGTGGTTAGTCACTTGTTATATTGATAAATGACAAAAAATATTTAGAACTCCATGGTTACACTTCAAGTCGCCAATGTTGGCATTTCTTTCTGACTATGCACTCATTCCTTCGGATTTTTATAATAAAGATTTGAATAAAAATAAAGCTTCAGTCAAGTCCAGTGTATACATGACCATATCGTTTTATAGTGTACCTAAATACATTTTGTAAGGGCTCTGTTCAAACAATTCTCAGTTGGACATTTTGTACCCATCTCTTGAGACCTTCAGCGGTACCCAGGTAGGGTTGGGTAATAGGGGGACGGTTACCCGGGTTGCAAATTTGGACTCGTTCCAGCCCTAATTTACACCTTACATTTCTAATTGTTGTATTATCGACTCTGCTAGCTCGGGTTGTAACGTGCAGACAGGAAAATATCATTTACACCCTACTGGTACACATTATCTCTGCTATTGGCATTCATAACCATCAGATAAAGATATATCATTTACACCTGACATTTTTCATTGTTACACTATCTCTTCTGGCTGTGATTGTAACCTGCAGATAGGAGAATAGCATTTACACCTGACACTTTTCATTGTTACACTATCTCTTCTGGCTGTGATTGTAACCTGCAGATAGGAGAATAGCATTTACACCTTTCATTTTTCATTGTCACATATTACCTCGACTGCCTTACACAACCCAAAGACTTATGATAAGGATCAAATTAATTACTGCACTTGACCAATATACTTTGTGACAATGTTAAGCCGGTGATAAATTTCAACATTTGACTGTCAAACAGTTGACTGTACTTATGTGTAGTATGGCTTACACCATAAACTTAGGGATTGAGAAATTGAAAAGGGTATTGTCAGTCTCAGTTTCTTATGCATGCTATTTGTTCACAATTGAACAAAACTTTTCTTGACAATTATTTGTAACAATATGATTGGTGAGAAAGTAAATTTAATATTTTTGTGTATATTTTGTGTATATTTATGCACTAGATACATAGAGGTTATCACGCGAGTGTGTTTGGGTATGGTAAATATCCTGCATTAGGAATAAACATTGTATTTAGCGAGCCTTGGCGAGCTAAATACATAGTGTTTATTCCTAATACAGGATATTTACCATCCCCAAACACACAAGCGTGATAACCTCTTTATCATATAATGTCATGCTTTAATTCTGTGCTTTAAAATCGCTATCCCTATCTCACAAACATTACCAAAACATTGCGAGTTTTCCTGGAATGCGCGCTTTAATATTTATTACGTCACAGGGTAAGTGATATGTCAGTCTGACAGTGACAGTAGCCAATATAGTTCCAACTGAAATCTCTTTCTAATACAGTGGCGAAGCAACATATACGCAAAAAAACAGTTGTTTTTAATTGCCTTTCGCAGCAATCCATCGGTCTGTCCGCTAGAGTAACTGCCCTTTGTCAAAGGGAAGCTACTCTAACCCTAGTCTATGAGACGTCACGGGCACGGTCAGACGTTGTTGACAGTCGGTCTGTCCTGTCATAAGGTTAAGAAGTGTAGTCAGATGTACACACAGCGACAAAACCAAACAAGGTAACAATTCAAACATATTTCGGCCAAATCCAACTATTTTAATTTGTGGAGAAGGTTTCAAGTCGCAGAGGACTACAAGCACAGATATTGCTACTGATCCCGCTTGGCTAGGCCTCGCGCCCTCGCAAAATTGTTTCCAAATTTATACCTCCAAATTAGCCAAAACTTATAAAATGCCTTAGCTACGTCACAGTTAGACACTGATTTTCAGTATATTAGACTGTTCTTTTGATAATGGTAGCAATTATCCCTGTTGTTTATCCAGATTCCCGATGGTTAATTTTGACTCGATCGCCAAATGACGAGGACGACGCCATGTTTGTTTATAAACAGTGAAAGTAGTCCTACTTGACCTTTGATATTTGCATCTCTATCCGCATATGACCCCAACGGATATCGTTTTTATCCGTTGGCTTTATCCTGCCGAGAAACCTGCCCATTATATGATAAAGACAGTTATATTCCCTGAAATTACTTTCAACTTTCAAAACAACCCTAAAAATGGCTGAGCAAAACAGACTTAAAATGTGACAAAAACTTGGAAAAGCTTAGTCTTATCATTAAAATAACATGGCTATATGTAGCACAGTACCCTATTCACTAAGGACTAATGTCTAAGGCCCTTGACATTTAAATTCATGGCTAGCACCAGCCATGCTGGCTAGCCACAGGCCAATGAAGCTGTCTTACTCCAGGTTATAGATTATACGACTGCAAGTATAAAATACACATTATACATGAACCACAACTAGCAGTCAGCCAAGTAGCGTCTCAACTCAGACAGCCACTCGTCTATGCACAAATTGCTGAGTGTGCATAAACTGAAGAATTTACAAGTTTATGAAATCTACTCAAATAATGCCCATGGAGGCTCGATTTAGATCAATCAATATTTTTCTCCTTGCTCACTGTGGTATAAAATTTGTTGCCTTGACAACATACAGATTTTGTAGAATTAACACTGGGAAATGCCACTCGTACAATGAAGCAGAAAACCTTAATGGACAATAAATCGTTTCTGCTTCTTATGCGTGAATATTCTTATAATTAGGTGATTTAATCACAGCCATTAAGATCATGGTAAATCTAGATTTTATTTTGGCATGCTATCATTTGATTACAAGCTTAAGATGAAGAAGAAATATATCATTGGACTAGGCAACTGGACAATACACTTGACACTCATTCATCCGCTCACTCACTTACTCACCCACCCATACTCACCCACAAACTCCTGTCACTCAATCACTCACCCATCCATACTCACTCACACATTCCTGTCACTCACCAACTCACCCATCCATACTCACCCACACACCCCTGTCACTTACTCACTCACCCATCCATACTCACTCACACACTCCTGTCACTCACTCACTCACCCATCCATACTCACTCACACATTCCTGTCACTCAATCACTCACCCATCCATACTCACTCACACACTCCTGTCACTCACTCACTCACCCATCCATACTCACTCACACACTCCTGTCACTCACTCACTCACCCATCCATACTCACTCACACATTCCTGTCACTCACTCACTCACCCATCCATACTCACTCACACATTCCTGTCAGTCACCAACTCACCCATCCAAACTCACCCACACACCCCTGTCACTTACTCATCCATACTCACCCACACATTCCTGTCACTCACCAACTCACCCATCCATACTCACCCACACACTCCTGTCGCTCACTCACCCATCCATACTCACCCACACACTCCTGTCACTCACTCATTCACCCATCCATACTCACCCACACATTCCTGTCACTCACTCACCCACACTCCTGTCACTCACCCATCCATACTCACCCACACACTCCTGTCACTCACCAACTCACCCATCCATACTCACCCACACACTCCTGCATGCTGTGGCTCATACACTCGCCTGTACCCACAGGAACTCTCAAGAGCTCGACAAGGTTGATATCTAACTTAAACTGATCTAAACATAATTTCTTTAACATAACTTTTCAACAAGGAAGTAACATTGCTGAAAATACACAACAATGTCAAATTCTTTGACACCGCATACATGTAGCCATGGTGACATAACAAAGTTTAAGAAATCAGTGATCTGCCAAGTATCACTTGTCATGAGGATAGCCCATACTTAGTATGAGCCTGGCAAGGGAACCTGGAAACATGCACATTTTCAATCCCTACAAGTTCACTTCTTTGTTAGATCTGACACCACTGAGCATATACTCCATGCTACTGATGGCTGACCTCAGGTGAGGACGCAGGATCGCAGCGTTTCATCCAACGTGCTGGCATGTGGGAAGAAGTTTTATGTGTGAGCCACCATGAACCTCAGGTGAAACACATCACAGATCCTCACCATCACAAACCTGAACCTAGGCTTCCATTAATGTTATAAGATGGCTCCTTTATGATGCCATTGTGTTCTGCTGAAACGAGTCCCCTCAAGAAATTCTTATTGAAAATTTGATGTTAGTTGTTAGTGCAAATGCAGGTTTGCATGTGATTTAGAGCACATTCATTTCTGAAGTCAATATTACCTTACCTAGGGGCCATGGAAAATGGCTTCTCTCTCCAAACAGAATTCTTTATGAATGCTTGTGTGTAGTATTCGAGTAGAGTGAAGTTGGGACCAATTTCTCTATACCCTATACTGAACTTACTGCACAGAAGAATTTAAGAATTCAGCAAAATGCCCAAACACCCTTCAGAGTTTTCATGCTGACATTTAATTGTAATGCACTGAGAACAGACAAAAAAATCACGAGATCAATTTAAATCAGTAAAGAAAGTATGTTCTTAAAATTAGAATGGATGGAAAACAGATCGACAGTTCTCACAGAGGCCCTGCAAACGTAATTACGCCTGCGCCAATATTTGTCTGAGGATGCTCAGTACACATCCACTTATCTCCCAACCCATCGTGTCAGGTCAATGTGTTCTAGTGGCTCCCTGTACCAACCGCATATGGAATCAGTTTGTTTTATCAGTCTACACAAAAAATATTGAGTAAATGACCTACTATTATTGTGCCCTGTGTGGGTACACTTTGAGTGGAGGAGCTAACTTAAATACCGAAATAAGTGATAGGAGACTTTGCTATGAGACACCATCATAGTGTGTTGTTGTTGTTTGTTATTATCATTAACATTGTCATTACCACTGTTGTCATAGTTATCAGTGAAAGTATTGTAATACTTACCCTCTTTGTGAAAACGAAAACTGTTTGTTTGTGTGTTTTTAACACCACACCAAGCAATATTTCAGCAACATGACAGTGGCTTGTAAATAATCGGGTCTGGACCAGACAATCCAGTGATTGATACTGCAAGCTTTATCCCAGATCATCAGGATACCATAACACGCAATCCAACAAGTCACCAAGTCTGACTACCTGATTCATTTAGTGGCCTGCTACGACCAGCATAGGTCAATATCATCATTACTATCATCATCATTACTATCATCATCATTACTATCATCATCATTACTATCATCATCATTACTATCATCATCATTACTATCATCATCATCATCATCGTCATCGTCATCATCCTCACCTCCCCGATGTTTCTTAGGTATCTCTGGAAGTTTCCGCGGCCGTCTAGCCGGCCATCTACCATTTTGTGCTTCAGGAGCTGGAGTGCCTTCCGAATCTGAGAGTTTCCTGTTAGACTCCTGCAACAAAAATAGTGGCAATAATTGACCATTCTTGGACACCACACACTCTCTTCAAGGTCCGCCATCCAGCATTAGAAGATGCCATGCCTTAAGCTATGTATCTTATTGATTCCACAATGTTTGTTCTCTACAATAATCTCAAGCATGGCATAACACTCCCCAGGAGTGTTGGTGCAATCTAGAAGCTATCTGGTGTCAGTCAACATAATCTATATCTCCCAGCCCACAACAAACATGTACTAGCATAAAATCATAGCAATGGGGGGGTAAATTGATTGTGGGAATGTGTTTATGTTGAATGCATTACCATATTTGCTGTATTAAGCACCCTGCTCCAATAAGTACCTCCTTACCCACTTCTAGACCAATCCTTAAGTATTCTTTATAAACGCTCCCATATAAGACCAAAAAGGTGCATGACAGACGATCTTCTTGTGTATATTAGAGATTGTTTTACAAAACATAGCAGCACAGAAAGGGAATTTATCATCCAAACCTGGCTCCTACAGGAGATATTGCATGGGTGAGATCAAGCGATATCTACACTGTAGATATCGCTGCAATGAAATTGCATCACAATGCTTTAAGATCATTGTGTTGTCATTGGTTACCATGACATCAAAATCAAATGACATCACTAATGGCTCTGCTACTGAAGCTGTTAGCAGTACTTTTTACACTTAAGACACTGCTTATTACTGTTGGAAGAATGATTTTGGATGATAAATAGAATCTTACCCTTGTGTCTTTATGATATCAAATATATCAACACTCATTGATAAAAGTGGAAAAACTTCTCAGCAAGCCTTTGAGTTTTTTCACTTTTATCAACTCGTGTTGATATATTTGATATTAAAAGACACGAGGGTGAGATTCTCTATATAATTGCCTCGTAACCATTATCAGAAAGAAGTATTTGATGGGCATATAGAATTTGGAGGGGAAGGAATACATGAAGACAGAACACTTTCTTATAGAATAAAAAAAGTTGTAATCCATAAAAAAGTGTCACGTATTCTTATTATCAAAAGGGTTCTGTTTCCTCCATGTTTGAACTAATACACTACCACTCTATCTCAGAAACCTAATTTAACTTGTTATGATTTCAATTATCTAAGTGCCCAGAGCGCTTATTACAATAAATACAGTAAATTTCTCTGCTTTTGTTTCGTTTCATCTCAATAAGGAATCTGTTTGATGTGGCAGTGTCAGTAATGACAAATCTCTTCATGTTTAGGGGACGAGTTGACATTATTGCAACATCAAATTATTTTAAACAACAGACCAAATACTAAAATAGTATTTGAAACTCATACCAGACATATTATTCAAAGTTTTTCATCTTTCAAGACGTCATTATTATGCTGTGTAAACTTTGAGGCAAAAACACTTTTTAGACATTGCCATGGCAACCAAACTCAGTGATGATTACATGTAAGAGGCAAATGGAGGAAGTAAGAGATGTGATGTTTGTTGTAAAGGTCATGACAGCTTCATCTTTGGTTTCACTTCCAACCTTTGAAGCATAAAGAGAGATATCATTTCAACTTCATCAAAATTACTGTCACGAGAGTTCTTTTTCAAATTCATGTAGTTCATAAAAATGAGTTCTATTGTGTTTTTTAAGTTGAAAGTGACTAACACAAAGTCTTAGGAAGCAATCCAATCAAAAACATTCTCCACACAAAATAAAATGGCTTAGATCATCTGGATCATGATACCAATCTTTCAAGACCTCCAAAACGTTCTGAGAACAATATGATGATCCTTTTTGGTAAAAACCTAAAGAAAATGATTTTTTCAAGCTTTTTTTCTTCTTTACAAAATTGCCAGCAACCTACATCTTTTGACTAAAATGTTCTGCTGCTGTACTCTGACAAAGGCATGTCAATAGAGAATGCCAACAATGTACATATCAAGGTAAAGTTCCCAGAAACCATTTGTGACGTTGATGAATCATTTAAGATGAAAGAGGAGGTCTCCTGATTGGAGAATCAATAAAGTTGCAGCCAGGTTGGTGGGTGGGTGTCTGGCAACATCATCGCTAACTACATGAGGCTAGCTTGTGGCAGTTTAATAACTGAATGTAAGACCAAGCGTTGAAATGAGTGGGTGCGTTTTACATCAATTTTAGCAATAAGCCTCCTCACAACAAGAGACCTTTAGGAAGAGTTAGACACATTGTTCCAGTGTGGGTATGAGTTTGTGAGTTAGTTTTTACAATATGCCAGTTATACCACAGGGTGTCAGCTTGATGTGGGAGGAAAGCCTGTCAAAACCCATGGGCAAGGTTATTGTGGCAAGGATATTGTGGCAAGGGTATTGTGGCAAGGGTATTGTGGCAAGGGTATTGTGGCATTGGCATTGTGGCATGGTGGCATTGAACCTGGGTCTTGGCTGAGACAAGTGGTCATTTTAACCACTAGACTGCTGCTCCACCTGCTACATGTATAAGATAAAGACAAGCTAACTGCTTTGATTCCCATTAGGCCCCATTATTCTTAGTTGGCTTACAGATCTGCTGATCTAAAATACTGAGAAAAGGCAGAAAAAATATTTTGTTTTAAAAATATTTTACCACGGCTAATCTGAATAAAGAATATAAAAGAACAAAAAAATATTATCCTAGAATCTTGCAACACAGTAACAAAACAACTTTGCCATCAAAAAGTTCAAATACAGGTATGTGTCATGTCAGAATTCCACCCCCCACCACCAAACAGAATTTTGAGAGGAAAACTCTACAAAACTATGATAAACATGATGTCATGTCAGATACCTACAGCAGAACAACACGAACAACAAGGGACCAGAGAAATCAGTTCGTTATATCCGTTGTTCGTTATACATGTTTTCGCTCGGAAACGTCTGCCATCTTGGATAAGACAAAACACAATACACGTAATTGCAGTGTTACACGTGAAATCTTCATGGCCTAATTTCACTGCAAAATCGTCAGCTTTGGTCTGCAGTAACGGACCACAAAACGGAATTCGCCGCTGATTGCGTACAGCCAATTGTCAATGACACTTGACACTGAGTGAGATTTCACTAATAAGTGATAGATGGGTTTGTTGGTGATAAGATATCAGTTCGCTGTATCCGTTAGTTCGCTGTAGAGAGTTCATTATATACGTAAATTTGATATGATATCATGTAAGAGATAAATCGGGGATTTTTTAATAGTTCGTTGTATCCGTTTGTTCGCTCTATCTGTGTTCGTAATATCCGTGTTCTACTGTATATACAATACAATCCCTCTCTGCATGAAGATCTGAGGACACCGCAGTGATAGGTTGCGTCAGGTGAACTTTCATTTCAGCCAATCAGTGCAGAGGCTTTGAATTCTCAGGACAAATGTGTTAAGTATTCACACCAGTGTATCTGATTTCTGTATCTCAAAATCGAGATACACTCTCAAAATTGGCGAATGTACACAATGAAGGCAGCCCTTATCAATAATACTGTTGTTGATATTTTATACACTCTGTTATTTGTGAGCTCTCTACACCGAAAAAGGGGTTACATTGAAGTCATATTGTGTCCTTCGTAGTGCAGGTTGGACTGTTGGTATTTCATCAAGTGAAGACAGAAGTGAACACAAACAGTGATTGTCTTCCTCTGTAGGTATTTTGGGACAGCAGTGTGTGGTGGGTAGGAATGGAAAGTTAATAATTTATTTATCATGGCCTACAGGATAATAGACATTTCTAATTCAGCTTATCAGTCGGAAGATGACGTACTTGATGTGCGTGTTGATAATTAACTTGTTGGGCTAGCAATGAGAGACTACAAATATCTCTTATATTTGATCTCATTTCATTAACAATATTTGATTTCTAAAGTTGGTGTGGCTTAATTTATAAGAGAGACAGAGAAAGTTAGACATTGATTGAGTTGGTATAATGCTGCTTTGAAGAGTATTTCAGTTACACTATGTCATGTCAGCTTGATGTGGGAGGAAAGTGATGCAGGTCTTAGACATTTACTGCTTTGGTGAAACCCACAAGCATGGATATGGTGCTGACAGAAACGTAATCAGGGCGATTGAAACACGATAACAGGTGTCTGGTATGCCTATCAAGAGATATGCCACTCTGCGCAGCTCATTTTGTCACTTTTGACAACGGCGCCACCTGTGCACCTAGTTAGAGAGGCTTAGAAGCCAACTGTGCACACGCTGTCAAAGTTTGTATTAAAACAGGCTTTCACCCATCCACCATATCCAGCAATTACCTTTCGCAAAAGATATTTCTAAACTTGATCCTTTAATCAATTACACATCGAATATAGATTGTGCAAAAAGACCGATTCCTTGTCCTACAAATACCATCAAATGGCGCTGTGTTCATGTCACAGTTTGGCAGCAACTACTTGATGTGAAATAAGTAGAACCTTCGAGAAATTAGCTCGACAGTACCGACCAGAATAATTGAATCTCTGGGGATTCCAGGTTTTGTTTGACTTTCTGATTAAGTTACTATTATAAGACACTAATGAGGAGTTGATTACCTTCACAGAAATACTTTCTGAAAGTGAATTTAGTAAATGGAGATTTATTGACAATAGGTTCTTGTTTTTCTGTATTTTCTACTGGCAGTGAGTGAGATGAGTTTAATTCCACTTATGAACTATTCCTGCCTTATCAAGACAGGGGCTGCTAAGAATGGGCTTCACACATAGTGTACCTTTGTGGAAATTGAACCCGGGTCTTTGGGGTGATGAGCTGAAGCTTTAACCACTGTGCTACTCCAGTCCCCACACTCCACATCCCATAAAAGAGAAACATTTCTTTTTTCAACTCCAATGATCAATTTGATCATATACTGACACACTTTGAAAACGCTTATTCAAATTGTTATAATATATGACAAAATGGGCACAAAATTAGTTAAAGTTGTTCTGTGTGCATGAGATAATTCAACACAAAAATGTTGTATGGTTTTGAATCTCAATTCATTTGTTTCAACATGTAGCTGAGCTTAAAAAAAACATATTGTCTGATCCTGTTAATGTTGATCATGAGTTTTCATTGCGTGTCAATATAAACAAAATTTTATCTTCTGAATGAAAATATTTGTTTAGTCCTTAGTATTTCAAAAATTTCTACAAAATTATTTTTTACAATTTGAACTGTTGAAAAAAGCATTTCTATATTTTTTCCATAATATAAATTCTTTTTTCTAAAAACATATCTTTGCAGAGCAATATGAAACATATTACAAACTAAACTTTATTTATCCCTTAGATAATTTTTTACCTTTCCATTAGCTTCAACAAGATCCTATCTGAATTCAATCAACACTCTGCATGAGGCCTCTCAGGCCTCTCAGATGAAGCTCTACTGATATGCCAGGGTGCAAAGCAACATAAACCCTCTAAGGCAAGTGCACAGACGCCTGGGAACTACAGTAATGGCCGTACCATGTGATCACTACTTAATGCAGCATCGGCACTGGCGACAGGAAACGCAGGTGTCTGCCTAAGGACGACCACATCTGAACCATACATGCTCTCACTTTATGGCTTGCATGTTTTACTAATCAGAACATTAATATACCCTTGTTTTGTGGCAGTAGGGATTCTTGTAAGTTTGGAGAATAATTGTAGAGATTGTTAGTGTCAGCAAACCATTGAAGCATTTGTAAACTTTGAGCGCTGTTTTGGACAGATTTGAGTAGTACTCAGAGGCAGCGAGTAATTGAGAGTTATCCTCCCTTGTGTAAACACCCAAATTGGCAAGTCTGATCTTTCTTGGAGCAGTTTCTAGAAGATTGGCTGTAGATATATACAAGGCCTTTTTCAACATAAATTGTTTCTGATCTACTTGCCAAGTGCGGTTTGGAAACCTATTTGAACACTTCCAGTTCCTGTCTGTTTCCAGTACTATTCTGGATTCAAGAAGAAAGACAGGCCTCTTTCAAGACATTCAACCGTGCCAGCATTCTGGACATTTGTGATTGCACTGACAGTAGTTCCAGGGCCTAATTCTTATTGCTGCTGCCATCTTCTTGACCCATTGTAATGCCTTATTATTGTAATCCTGAAACTGCGTGTTTAAGCATAATTTATTGAACGTGCATTGATCTTGTGTGGTCACTGATTTCCCAATTTAGTTCTGTACAAACCGATTTCTGGGTGAAGCCTTTCCATTTCAATTTGGAGATCACCTCGTAAAACCCTTGACAGCTCAGAAATGATGTATAAAATATCCACTACAATATACAAGTGTGGACTTTTTTATTTTGCATTCTGAACATCCCCATAATGTTTGTTTGCAGAGATACAGAAATCAGATATGCTTGTCTGAATGCTTCACTGACTTGAACCCACAATTTAGAAGCCTAGACACTGATTGGTTGATCAGAAAGCTCACCTGAAGCGTCTTCCCATGGTTCTTCACACAGAGTTTTTTTTTGTTAGTTTGCTTGTTTGTTTGTAGTTCACAACAAATTCTCTTAGTCGCTTCTTACGACAAGCATGTGTTTCTGAGGACCTATTCTAACCCGAATATTTGATTTTGAAGAGACTGATTTACACAGATGCCTTGAACAGTCTTTTGTACCACATGAAATATTTTTTTAAATGCCTCCTGTCTCATACTTGTATTTTTAAGATTTCTTTCCACAAAGATTTCAAAGAGCATCATACAAGACTTCCTAAAAAGTTGTTTGATCAGGGTTACAGCATTTGAGGCCTTAGTAAAGCTTTCAAAAAGTGTTATGGTAGACATGTGGAGGACTCTTTCAAATTGCACATCAGTGACACAAACTATGTCCAGTGCAATTCCCTATTTTGGCTTGTACCATGTTTTCATGATTTTCAAGAAAACAATTGACTTGCCTTTGCATGAGTTTATGGTGGGTGCCACCAGTGGGGCAGGATACACTCACCATTTCATGAACACCTGGTATCATCACTATTTGATAGTGATTCATAAATACATTCTATTAACATATTATATAGTCAAAATCTTAGAAAAGACTCTGGTTTTAGCAGATATTTCTTATGATTATGGTTTCTTGTTTGTTTGTTTGCTTTGGTTTGTTTGTTTGTTTGTTTGTTTGTTTGTTTAACACTGCACTCAGCAATATTCCTGCTCTATGACGGCAGTCTGTAAATAATCAAGTCTGGACCAGACAACCCAGTGATTGACATCGTGAGTATCGATCCATGCAATTGGTATACGATGACATGCATCAACCAAGTCAGCGAGCCAGACCACCTGATCCCGTTAGTCAAAGCATATCGTTGCTTCAATTATAATGGAAGTCTAATATTTAATTTATTGTGCTGCTCTACTTACGTTTGATGAATATATATTTACGTCTGAGGTATAGCTAATACAGCTGGGCACAGTGTCCTCCTCGTAATCATCTTGAATTACTGCAGCAGTTTGTGGTGACAATGTCTTCTTAGGAGACAGTTCTTTTGAAGTTAATTCCTCTACATCTTCAATCCTAGTTGGTAAAGGATTTATATAATCTGGTGTCTGACCTTTTATATGTAACAAGTTTTTGGCATTCTTTTCTGCAGTACTGTCTTTTTCTGTGGTGCTATCCTTGGCTGTGTCATTATCCAAGATCCTAGAGTTGTCTTTCCCATACCAGCAGCCATAGGTTTCCGAGATGAACTCTTTAATCTTGAAATCTGTATCACAGTCGTCATCCCCCAATATATCTGGGCTTATGTCGTGTGCGAGCCTGTAAACAAAATTTGACAATGTTAATCGGATATATAAACAAGACAACCATTTTATTTTGCCTTTGTTGAAAAATAAAAATAACAAGACTACAATTTTGGATACATAGACTGAAGAAATAGAAAACAATTCTGGAATATTTGCAACATAATGTTAAAAGTTTCAATGCAGCAGAACAGCATGAATATTTCATAATTGTTTACCATAGCATGTTAAAAAATCAAAATACACCCATACCCATCCCATCCAATAATATATTTGTGTTATTCTGCATGCACCATACTCGCTGCATATCAAATTCCATAAGAATACACACCCAAAAATGGCTGAATAATGGTCAAAAATTACATTTTCAATATGGCTGCCTTTCAATATGGCTGCTTAGAAGGAGTATAATGATGCCCTTGTCTGAAGACACCCTTTCCTGTGTGGGCATGATCACAGACATGTTGTCAGGACATATTGCTGACACAGCCAGCTAAGTTGCCTAAGCATTTCCCCATCCATACACTATTCATGCTTGCCGTGTACATGTCAATCAGCGTAATGACAAACATTTTGGTATTGGGGATAACAAATGGTACAGGAGATCTTACGACTGCTTAAAACTCAATATGATATAACGCTGTCAAAGTGCTAGGACGACATGTGATTGCCACGGGCACTATTGATTCCTCTGTAAATTTCCAATAACGTAATCCTGAAAGAAAACATGGGCTTCACTTACTGAACGAGCTATCCTGGACCATGTCAATATCAACACAGTCAATATCAACACGTGCGACATGGCAGAATAAATACCACATGGTAGATGACATGGATGCAATGAATAATGATAGCAGTTATGCTTAGGAAGTAAACATCATCCCGTAAATACACCTCAGATGCAAATATTGTACGTTGTATAATTCACTACAGCTATATCACAGCGTCATGTAGACGGCAATATCACAGCTATATCATGGTGGCCTGTAGTCGGCAATATTACAGCTTTATCATGGTGGCCTGTAGACAGCAATATAACAGCTATATCACGGTGGCCTGTAGTCAGCAATATCACAGCTATATCATGGTGGCCTGTAGTCAGCAATATCACAGCTATATCACGGTGGCCTGTAGTCAGCAATATTACAGCTATATCACGGTGGCCTGTAGTCAGCAATATCACAGCTATATCATGGTGGCCTGTAGTCAGCAATATTCCAGCTATATCATGGTGGCCTGTAGTCAGCAATATTCCAGCTATATCACGGAGGCCTGTAATCAGCAATATTACAGCTATATCACGGTGGCCTGTAGACAGCAATATTACAGCTATATCACGGTGGCCTGTAGTCAGCAATATCACAGCTATATCATGGTGGCCTGTAGTCAGCAATATCACAGCTATATCACGGTGGCCTGTAGTCAGCAATATTACAGCTATATCACGGTGGCCTGTAGTCAGCAATATCACAGCTATATCATGGTGGCCTGTAGTCAGCAATATTCCAGCTATATCATGGTGGCCTGTAGTCAGCAATATTCCAGCTATATCACGGAGGCCTGTAATCAGCAATATTACAGCTATATCACGGTGGCCTGTAGACAGCAATATTACAGCTATATCACGGTGGCCTGTAGTCAGCAATATTACAACTATATCATGGGGGCCTGTAGTCAGCAATATTACAGCTATATCAAGGTGGCCTGTAGTCAGCAATATTACAGCTATATCACGGTGGCCTGTAGTCAGCAATATTACAGCTATATCACGGTGGCCTGTTATTAGCAATATTACAGCTATATCATGGTGGCCTGTAGTCAGCAATATTCCAGCTATATCACGGTGGCCTGTAGTCAGCAATATTACAACTATATCATGGTGGCCTGTAGTCAGCAATATTACAGCTATATCACGATGGCCTGTAGTCAGCAATATTACAGCTATATCACGGTGGCCTGTAGTCAGCAATATCACAACTATATCACGGTGGCCTGTAGTCAGCAATATTACAGCGATATCACGGTGGCCTGTAGTCAGCAATATCACAGCTATATCACGGTGGCCTGTAGTCAGCAATATTACAGCTATATCACGGTGGCCTGTAGTCAGCAATATCACAGCTATATCATGGTGGCCTGTAGTCAGCAATATTCCAGCTATATCATGGTGGCCTGTAGTCAGCAATATTCCAGCTATATCACGGAGGCCTGTAGTCAGCAATATTACAGCTATATCACGGTGTCCTGTAGACAGCAATATTACAACTATATCATGGTGGCCTGTAGTCGGCAATATTACAGCTATATCACGGTGGCCTGTTATTAGCAATATTCCAGCTATATCAAGGTGGCCTGTAGTCAGCAATATTACAACTATATCACGGTGGCCTGTAGTCAGCAATATTACAACTATATCATGGGGGCCTGTAGTCAGCAATATTACAGCTATATCACGGTGGCCTGTAGTCAGCAATATTACAACTATATCATGGGGGCCTGTAATTAGCAATATTACAGCTATATCACGGTGGCCTGTAGACAGCAATATTACAGCTATATCATGGTGGCCTGTAGTCAGCAATATTCCAGCTATATCATGGTGGCCTGTAGTCAGCAATATTACAACTATATCATGGGGGCCTGTAGTCAGCAATATAACAGCTATATCACGGTGGCCTGTAATCAGCAATATTACAACTATATCATGGGGGCCTGTAGTCAGCAATATTACAGCTATATCACGGTGGCCTGTAATTAGCAATATAACAGCTATATCACGGTGGCCTGTAGTCAGCAATATTACAACTATATTATGGTGGCCTGTAGTCAGCAATATTACAGCTATATCACGGTGGCCTGTAGTCAGCAATATTACAGCTATATCACGGTGGCCTGTAGTCAGCAATATTACAACTATATCATGGTGGCCTGTAGTCAGCAATATTACAGCTATATCACAGTGGCCTGTAGCCAGCAATATTACAGCTTTATCACGGTGGCCTGTAGTCAGCAATATTACAGCTATATCACGGTGGCCTGTAGCCAGCAATATTACAGCTATATCATGGTGGCCTGTAGTCAGCAATATTACAGCTATATCACGGTGGCCTGTAGTCAGCAATATTACACCTTTATCATGGTGGCCTGTAGTCAGCAATATTACACCTTTATCATGGTGGCCTGTAGTCAGCAATATTACAACTATATCATGGTGGCCTGTAGTCAGCAATATTACAGCTATATCACGGTGGCCTGTAGTCAGCAATATTACACCTTTATCATGGTGGCCTGTAGTCAGCAATATTACAACTATATCATGGGGGCCTGTAGTCAGCAATATTACAGCTATATCACGGTGGCCTGTAATTAGCAATATAACAGCTATATCATGGTGGCCTGTAGTCAGCAATATTACAGCTATATCACGGTGGCCTCTAGCCAGCAATATTACAGCTTTATCATGGTGGCCTCTAGCCAGCAATATTTTCACAATGATTCGCATTGGTACTGCGGTACCCCTTGACCTCCACTGACCAGATGAAAATACAGAACAAAAAAACCCCAGAACTATAACTAAATGTAGACCAGTAAAACATATGTTTCAAGTGATGTTGAATATCTGCTTGCAATAATATGAAACGGAGCACATAATTAATTTTTTAAACTCAAAAACACAATGACTATTTTGGCCACTATGTAGGAAATTATTTATTTATTTTGTGTAAAAATATCTGCATAGTATGTTTCGTCAATATTAAAAGTGCATCTGCAAATGTTTGCCACAGCAGCCACATTGTATGAATGATGAGGTAACAGGTGCATCATTGATGCTTCACGTTTCCAGGAATCAATGATGCTTGATACAATAGTTTGGAAAGGAGTGCTTTTTTCCAGAATTTATTTCTAAAAAGACCAGGAACAATGGTACGATTTCTCCAAGAATCCAGGTAAATAACGATCAATTCCATCAATCCAGGAGTTTAAACTTAACTGACCCTTACTTACACAACACCATAGTTATATACAGTTTTTGTTGTTGTTCTTTGCATGTGTACACCTGGAAATTAATCAAGCACCACCAAAAGTTTTGAAAATGAATACGTTGTATCAATATATTAGATATAATAGACTTTTCCCCACACCATACTATTGCCAATACGGGCGGGCGGGTAGCCTAGTGGTTAAAGCGTTTGTTCGTCAAGCCAAAGACCCAGGTTCGATTCCTGACATGGGTACAATGTCTGAAGCCCATTTCTGGTGTCCCCCGCCGTGAAATTGCTAGAATATTGCTAAAAGCAGTGTAAAATCAAACTCACTCACTCACTCACTATTGCCAATACCACTGTCAACGTGCTTGATGCTGCACACACTGAGTGTAAGGCACAGCACCCATGAACTGTCCACAAACACCTGTTGTTCATGAACATTGCAGGTACACAGGCTGCATCCCAATTACAAAGCATTATCATGGCAAATTGTCTGAAGCATTTAGATGGCAGACTATTTGAACGATAAATGTATGAATGTCTTACAGAGAAATGGGACATCACCATACAGTAATTTCAAGATTAGTGCAGAAATACAGAACAATCAATAAATCTGAGGGCAGGCCACACCAAGGCCATTCTTGCAAGACATCCAGGAGAAAAGATGCAGAATTATTAGGGCTCGTTAAACGACCTCCATGTGAAAACTGTACAGTTTAAAGGCCCAGTTGTGACTAGGCAGAGCAATTTTAACCAGAACCATCAGAAATCTTCTAAAAACAGCTATACGCAGAATCAGAGAACCAATAAAACATCCCTTGTTAACTCAGGCCAATAAAGCAGCATGTCTGGTGTGTCTGGTCTAATCTACAACTAAACTGGAATATTGCATCATGGGAGAGAGTCCATTTTTCGGATGAAAGTCGGTTTCTGTTACACATGGTGGACAGACGTATACGTGTCTAAAGGGAGGAAAAACACCCATGGCTGCACACAATATTCCATAGACCCATCCATTTGAGGGGGGAAC